AGTTTTTAGTCTGTCAGTCTCAAGTATACAGTGCAATAGCAAACCTGGCAAATGAATTCAAAATGGTAACAAAACCCAAAATTTGCCCATGTGAGGAGGAAAGTAATAGTTGTCAATCAACAGCCTCCATTAGTAGTAAGATGTGGTGATGCTGCCTTTTTGTGTTATGAGAATTATATTTAGGAGAGTATGTTTAGGGTTGCACTTCGGATCTGTTATCAGATTATTTTTTTAAATTTTATTTGTCTTGAAGCAAGCTATAAGTAAATGGCTCCATAAACTGTTGCTGTAATCCTCCATATTGTACTCTGTGTACAGGTTATAAAATCCCAGTACTGGAGAACCTAGGGGCCACTCTGGACCAGTTTGACACCATCGACTTCTCCGATAATGAGATCAGAAAGTTGGATGGGTTTCCTTTGCTCAGGCGCCTCAAGTCCCTGCTACTGAATAACAACCGCATCTGGTGAGTCCTTCCGACCCCATCACACATACAAACTTTTCCAAAGCAAATTTACAAGATAGTTCCGTATCTTTAGCATGTATAAATTCTGGTTTAGGTTTAATACTTTACAATCAATCAATCTTTATTTATAGAATGCTTTTCATACAAAAAATGCAACACAAAGAGCTTTACTGTTTAACAAATAAATTAACAAATATGCATGGGGTTTTGTTTTGTTTATTTACACCTTTCTCCTAGCTTTGCATCCAAGAGCTGAGAATATCTTATTAGACTTGGTGTGTTTTATATATGTTTGTGCGCTCTGTTATTTTTTTTCTTTTTACTGCACTCCTTATTCACACACAGTGCTCATCATTCACCCTAAAGGGCATATGGTGATTTCTGAGCATATCACACATTATCCATGATAAGCAGCAGAGCCTGTGGATATACACATGCATGCTCCCTTCTCTGGAGCAGTTGGCTACACCTGTGGCTAAATGTACTGATGACGGGGGAGAAAAAGCCTTTTTTGGAATGACACACAGACCTAACCTCACCTGTGCTGACAGAGGGAGGAGAAGTATCTCGCTGATATTAAATTGATACCATTTGCCTCGCCAGATGCAGTTAGCAAACAGCCAGCCCTAATACATTTTATTTATTTGGCACCTCTCTTGAAACTCAAGGTTAACTTACAATATGTATATAAAAGTGCATCAACATAACAAAAGTCAGCAGAAGTGTCCATTCTTACGAATATGTCATCCAAGAGCTTTGATCCAGTTTGTAGCATTTTTGCTTTCTCCTTGGAAGTAAAGTAGATCGGCCTCAGGTTGGCTGCTTTCACACCACACACGCTCGCTCCAGAGTGCGACAGAAGCCACTTCAAGACTTTGTTTTGAGTGGTCTTGTTGGCACTGGTCCAAGTGCCTTGCTCTCAGATCTGAAGATTTTAGCATAGTGCCAGTGTGAAAACACCCTTAAACTTACTGATGATGCTCTAAAAAGTTTATGAAAAAAGACTCTTGAGTTTTGTCTAATCCCATGTTGTTGTGCTCAGTCGTTTAGGTGAGAATCTGGAGCAGTCTCTGCCTGCACTACGGGAGCTGGTTCTGACTAATAACAACATCCAGGAATTGGTGAGTCTAGCCCCCTAGGTCTTTTTTGGTTCCAGTCAAACTCCAAATTACAAACATCTTGATGTAAGAATATATATTCTCCTATCTGCCCTCATGTCCACCAGTCTGTGTACCTTGAGGCTCAAACCCATATTTTCAATGTATGAAGTGTAGGACACTTTTTACTGTTTGTAAAATAAGAGATGGAAATATGTGCAGGTACAACTTGTTATATTGTGTGGCTTCGATTTTTTTGTGATCCAAAGTATCCTTTACCTACTTCCGGACCTTGAAAAAAGTAGCCATTTAGTTTTGTTCAAAATATCCCTTTTCTGCCTAGTCTTGACTGAAAATGTTTTGTTGATTTTGCTTCAGGGTGACCTGGATCCTCTGGCCACAATAAAAACTCTCTCCCTCCTCAGGTAACCATAAATCTGAACATGTACACCCACTGCATAAATATTCATGGCCTTAACTGAATATTGTATCTTTACAGCTTGTTGAGGAATCCAGTGACTAACAAGAAGCACTATAGGCTTTATGTCATCAACAAGTTGCCACAGATCCGAGTGCTGGACTTCCAGAAGGTTAAGCTCAAGGTAATTTCTGGTGCTCTCTCATGCATGATGCTAGTACTAGTTGTCTGTGCTTTAATGTACAGTAATATTTTGACGTTTTTTTTAGAATAATTAGCCAGAAATTGTGTCATTATCTTGGTTTTAAATTATTACAAATTGTGTATAGTATTGCACAAGTAGACATGTACTTGGGTTTAGAAAAAGGGTCAAAGAGCAGTTGTGCTGCATCTATTATTTAGCTTATTGATTAATGTAGCAATTTTTTTAAATTTATTGATTAGTTTGTTAGTTTACAGAAGGTGCATAAATAAATGAAATCACTTGAGGATATCTTGATGGAGTGTACTTATATTCCCCTTAAGGAAAGATGAAGTCTGTTTTAAAAAATATGTAAATGCCCAGATACTAAAACTAGTATTAAGTCCTCATAAAAATTCATCAATACTGGAATAAAATGTTTCCAGCTTTTGGGGTATACAAGAACTGTGGCATCTAATACAGAGCCTTTTGTTTTAAAATTTGACTGAGATGATTTGGACAAGCATAGAGGAGGAATTGTTGTAGAAAGAAAATGTAGAGGTTGGAACTGCCAAGTAAATGGAGATTTATTGATCAGGAAATGGCAAATATGCAGTTCAAGAAGTTGTGAAGAGGCTGCGTCATAGCAGAGACGAGGTAGTTGATTTGCAGTGTACCTAAAAAGCAGCAACACAGAAAAGTTATCATTTGATTATTTAATAGTTGTCACAGCCCTACATTCATCCTGCCTTTCCAACCCTTCTGTCTTCTCAGGAGCGACAGGAGGCTGAGAAAATGTTCAAGGGCAAACGAGGAGCTCAGTTGGCTAAAGACATTGGAAAGAGGACCAAAACGTGAGTCTCCAGGACATGTGTATAGAACTGAACTCATTAAGAACAGTTGCATTGACTGTGGCCAGAACTTAATGAACAAATTACATTAATTTCACTTGAATTTGTCGGGCAGGTTCACTCCAGGTGTTGGGGCACAGCAGGACAAAAAACGAACCGGACCTTCACCAGCAGATGTAGAAGCCATCAAGGTTTGGACACAAACAACCTTGAATCCATATCAAAGGCCAATTTCTTGTTTTTTTTTTTTTTAATAATGTGATGCACTTTTCATTTCAGAAAGCTATAGCGAATGCCTCATCATTAGCTGAAGTGGAACGGTTAAAGGGCATGCTTCAAGCTGGACAGATCCCTGGACGAGAGTTTAGACAAGGTAAGTACTTGCTATCTACCTCTTCTCTGAAATGTTTTGCTTTTGTCAGATTTGCAGCCTCATTCTCTTTCTAGTCTTGCACCCATTTCCCAGTCCTTGTCCCTAAACTGTATCCATTCTGTCTTCATTCTGTATCCTTTCCATCTAGTAGGGACTGGACAAAACCATTGCAATAAAATACTTCCAAGAATTGGCCTTGCCACAACATGTATGTGTGTATGCAGACATACATGTTACTGTACATACATTTTTATTGTTTTGAATATGCTATATTTGCTCTCCATGCTAAGTCACTTCCTCTTCAGAGTGCTATCACATCCTGATCCTGCTAATTAACAACTGCTACAACTAATATCCTGCTTTTGTATATTTATGGAGAACAGTTGTGTGGGAGCATGGGTGACGTAAGCTTATGGGCTGAGCATTGGACAGTCTTACTAACCATAAAGAGGGTTTGAATGGGCCTTGGGAGATGTTTGCTTGATTACTGAAACATGCATAGATGACTAAAACATCTTCATGCATGTTTTTGACAAGGGAACATTTTATAACATGGTAGAAAGCAAAAAATATATATTTTGCTTAATACCCCCTCTTTTAAAATGCTTTTGTATCTTTTTTCTTGATGGGTTAACTTTGCAGAGATGCTAAAATATTAAATGACATAAATCATAAAATGGTGAACTGAACTGCAGAATGAATTATGTCAAACTGTCATGCCACTCATTCTCATGCAATCCCAATGCAGACTCAGGTGCAGGTGAAGAGATGGAGGAGGAAGAGGAGGACGAGGAGCCCCAGTCCACAGGTCAAGAGGACATGAACCAGGACGTGGAGGAGGATATGGAGCAGGAGTCTCACATGAATGGCTCATAGAGGACTTTCCGTTTGCCTTTTGTTTTTATGTTTATCTTGACTTATTTTGTAAAATCAAATTGATTAAATTTTTTACTAACTGTTCCTGCTGTGTGAGTAAACTTTTGATTATATTGTTAAAATGCTGTGGCCTGTGTTGTGATACATTTGCTGTTTGGTCAAATACATAAGATTTAAATAATTAGATCATTTTTTTTTTTTTTTTTTTTAGTTGTCAATTGTTAAACTGTTAATAAAAAACACAAGAATTGCATTTTTTTTTTTTTATGTGAGCATTTGTTCTTATATTTGCCTTTTCTCATTGAACAAAAATGTATAGGCCAACAGCAAAATGTGCGCTCCAAAACTTGCACAAGATCAACAAATACAGGCCTAAGCATCAACTTAAGAAGATATGAAATATAATTGGGATACAGGAGTGACAGTGGACTGGTGTTGTCAGTGTTAACTTTCAGAACCTGATGCTACTTTGTTCTACTCCAGCCACAGTAGTGTTATAGTATAATGCAAGTGCTATTCTGTTCATGCCTTAAACTTTGGGGTGATTGTTATTGCGATTTGATTATTGAAGAAAATCTTACACAGTGATTTAATGCTATACAAAATTATACGTTGGTTTAGTAGTGAGATCCAAAACAAATCCCAAGGTTTTCAGATTGTACTGAATGGCATCATTTTGGCACAACTTGGCACAGAGACCCACTCCAAAACGCACGATGGCGCACACGATCTCTCACCGGAGCTCGTACACGTCATCCGTCATAACAAACTGAAATCCTGGTCCACAGCAGTTAAGTTGACCGGTGGATGAGACGCACCTGACCCGTAAGACTGAACCGCAGACGGGCCCTCACTGCGGATATGGGAGACAATTCAGAGCTACCGCCGGTGGAGCAGCACCAGCGGCCGCTCCGGAACCAGGACCTGAGCGCAGTCACCGACCTGGGTAACGCCATCCGACACGTCAGCAGGGGATAGCTTTAGCACGTTAGCATGCTGATGTAAACAAATATCCAACAATGTGTCTGCACTTGATTTACTATATTTTAACTCCTGTGTGGTGCTGGAATGAACTGATTGTCAACTCAGTCGCTAAAGGACTATTTGTCGAGTTTTACAACTATCCCAGTGTTCTGCTAAAATCACTTCCTGAAGTCACTCATCATGATACATCAAAGTCTTTGTGATGACTGTACTAACAAAATACATATGGTCGTGATAGTCCATATATCTTAGATTTAATAACTAAGACAGTTTTGTATATTGCATCATCCCTAGTGGAGTGATGAGGTTAGGTTTCAGGCATTGCAAATGAGCCAGGTGATGGGACAGGTGGGTGGGGAGCAAAGTGAATGAAAAGGAAAAGTGTACAAGACAAATTCTATACTAAAATGGTAGCATTGTGAGAGTAGACATGTTTATTCTTTAGAGACATTTGGGGATCTTTTTGACACAAGGACAAGATAAGAATTCAAAGATAAATGGTTTTAGTATGTGAGTAAATGCTTTACACTCATGTAAAGCTATGACTGTGGCCTATAATGTTTAGTAAAGCTAAAGGGCAGCTAAAATTAACGTAGTTAGAATTAGATTTTAGGGTTACTCATCATAAACATTTGTGTATTTAGCCTACTGTTTGACTGCCTGGTAAATCTATAATGATATCTCTTCTTAAAGCCTTGAACTGTGTATTCTGGATTTTTCACCTGAGAATACAATGTAATCAATAACTGTCTCTTGCCCTATCTGGGAGAATGGCATAATCACTAAGAGGTTAGATCTGCTAGACTGGAGGGAATACCGGAGATATGGATGCAGAGGAGAGTTTCAGATTACCTTTTAAATCTACTGTAGTTTTTTTTTTTTTTCCTTTGTAGTACAAGATGTTTTGTCCCAGTATGGATGGTACCTGCTGGCTGCTACAGCTCTGTTCTATCTGCTCATTCAGTACATTGTCAAAAAGAGCCAAGGAAGAACCCGCAGCTCTGCCCAACCCGCACATCACGGTATGTAGTCTCAGTACTCACTGTTGCGCTTAATTGTTTTTATTTGATTGACATCGACAGTCTTTATTTTGTTGCTTTAGACGCAGCACTTGTAGCCAAACGTCAAGAGGCCCTGGAGGCAGCTCGGATGAGGATGCAGGAAGAGCTTGATGCCAAAGCAGCCATCTTCAAAGAGAAGCAGAAACAGGTGAATATTAATGTATTAGTGTGAATTAATTAATGAAACTAGGGATGCCAAAACCTAAAAAAACAACTAAAGGCTGTAAACAGTAAAGGCTATAAACAAACAACAAAACTTAACTAATTGGGCAGAGTTGTGTACTGTGGAGCAAGTTTCAAGATCGTAATTGAACCAAATTATTTTTATCCTTTCTCTGACAAACGACTAAACTAATACTTGAATCAAAAACATACCTGAGGGCTGCTTTTTGTTTGATTTACACATGCTTGAGTAATCCTGCATTATTAGTCTTGTCTACATCTCCAATGCTCAAAATGCGCTGTTCCACCTTGTGATGTAGTGGTAGCTTTCAAATTGACAGCTACCTTCTAACTTTTTTCAGTAGAAACGGGCAATTTCAGGCCTGAAATTATCCAGATTATTCTACTGAAGGTGTATGGAAAACACAGTGGGACTCTTCTTGTATTACCACCTGACATCACAAGGTGGAACAGAGTGTTTTCAGTTTGAGTAAATAACTTGCTGTGTGTTAAACACATGTGACTGAAACAAAATACAATTCCAGATATGTTTTAAAAAAACATTATTACAGATTAGAAACGGCATAATATGGGTCTTTTTAAACTGTTTAACTGACCAAGTCATAAGTTACCCCATAACGCATTAGTCTGTATTGTGCCTCTGAGTTCTGAATATTTAGAATTGTTTAGACGTGTTGCTTCCTCACTAACAGAGTGTCGTTGTGTGAGTAGCAGGAGGAGGAGAAGAGGAGACAGAAGATTGAACTCTGGGAAAATATGAAGGAAGGCAAGAGCTGCAAAGGAAACACCTCCCAGGTCACATCCACAAGCATTAACATTTACTTAACATGTACTCCTATTAATAATAATAATAATAATAATAATAATAATAATAATAATAATAATAATAATAATAATAATAATAATAATAGTAGTAGTAGTAGTAGTAGTAGTAGTAGTAGTAGTAGTTATTTTTTCTTTTACAGTTAACCTAATATTATTTTTTTTTATTTTACAGAACACTGAGGAGGACTTGTCAACTACAGTTATTAAGAGGAAAACAGACAAAAAACCTCTTCGCAGCTCAGGTTGGGGATTCAAATACACTCACACAATTATTCAGTTGATCAGTTTCAACTGTTTTAAGAAGTTTCAAACAGTTTATGTTGTTTGATTAAAAAAAATATGGACAGTTGTATTTCAGGTATTTCTGAAAAGGATTTTGTATACAGACACACTTGCTTTTTAGTGTCTCCACATATGCAGAGCTGGAAGTAGCAGAGCATAAGAACATGCTAAAATATGGATATTAGGGTAAAAGGGTGCTTAGAATCAGGATAAGTTTCATTGCCATCATCAGTGAACAAAATTCTAAAACTAGAAATTTGTTTCGGCGTCATGGTGCAAGTAATAATTTCATAATCTATGATTAAATAAAAAAGAGGCATGCATTAAAGTAAGGTAAATAAATATACTCAATACTTTGATATACAAATCAAAAATGTACTATATGGGCAGAACATAAGATGGGTAGAAAATAGAACAACTAGCAAACCAGAAGCCTAGAGAAAAATCAAATAAGAGATTTATTTATAGAGCCAAGTTGAAGAAAAAGACTCCTCTTGAAATTAACAGGAGTAAAAAAAATAATGCTGTAGTCTATCATGCTGTACTAATCAGCAATAATGTATGAATGTTGTTGGTTTTGTCTTATGAATAAATATGTAATATTGTGTGCAGACTATAACCCTCTGAGTGGAGATGGGGGTGGGACATGTGCCTGGAGACCTGGGCGGAGAGGACCGTCTGCGGGAGGATGAAACTAAAGTGTGTCAGATGCTCCACAGGGGTGCTCTGACAAGTACATCAAGCTCTTCACACTGACAGGGGGCGCTGTGTACCAACTGCTGTTTTTTTTGTTTTGTTTTTTTTTAATCCTAGATTTTTTCTCTGGGTGTCTCTTGCAGCAGTCAGTCTCTCTTCAACATGTTTTAATGCTCATTATTTACTATAGTGGTGGCATGGCAGCCTCTAAATGAAGCCAGGTCTGTAAATGGAACTCTCCACTGGGCCTGGATGATAATGTCAGTGTGGATTAGCATAGCATATATACTCATGTTACTGAAGTCCAGCTAAAGTTATTTTAGAAATGATCCTTTTGAGTGGGTTGAAAACAGTTCAGACAGAAAACATTCTGGTGTCATTTGTTTAGCAATTCGTCTTGAGCTCTGGACAGAAGCTTGAATCTGCTTTTGACTTTTTTGTAGTATCATTTTATCAATCTGTTATAGATAAATAAATTATATCTATAAGTATCTTTTATGAATTTGGTCATTATTTGTAATCACCATTATTGTATTATTATTGAACTTTACTATTTAGAATAACAGGTTTATAGCAGGGCAATATAGTAATTAAATATAATTTTTCTTGTAAGATGTGCACATTCATTTTCATGTTTTGGGGACAATGTAAATATTAAATGGACACTGAAATGTATAATGACTTATCTACTGTACAATACTCTCCACTGAAAAAGTGTACTATAACTTTTTCAGTGGAAGGTCTGTTTCCTGCTTATCTCTCTGGAAAGAGAGATGCCTAAAATGTTCTATAATAAGGCATTAACCAACCATACCTAAAGAGACAAGCATGACATGTCATCAGGGGAAATTACAAGTCAGATCTGTGGATAGGTGACCTCTCTCACAGTGAGGATTCATGTTTTTTGGGCAACTGCAACTGAATTAACGCACGATATATCAGTTTAATGCCATACCGTGGAACATTCCTGGTAAAACAATATCATCTCTATGGAGAGAAACTAATGGAGCCCTCAACCAGAAAAGTTACATAGTATACCATTAAGAGTACTGCTCTTGTAGTTGAAGTAATGCTATGGTCACACTGACAAATTAGAAACTAGTTGACCAAACTTTTCCATAGTAAACTTAACAGCAAATTTTGGTCAGATTAATTTCCTTACAGTAAAAAGGCCTATGGATTGTGTAACTCACTCCTCATTACTTTCCCAAACCACTAAGCATTCTAGGAATGTGGACCCACCACCAGTAGAGCAGTCACGTGAGCGCACTTCCACTGGGAAATGGTTTAAATTAAATAAAGGTGGTCAGGCCTGTGCTTTTTTATTTTTTGTGCAAATGGGAGTGGGCCAAAAGGTGTCAAAGGAACTTTAAAATATACGTTATAGTTGTTCCGTGTACGCCTTCATGCTCTTGAACCTGAAGACATCACAGCAGTGAGACCGAGCAGCTGGCTCGCGCATCACCACTACGGAAAGCGCTTTGGCTCAAACTAAACAGGACCAGCCTGTGCCACGGAGAGTTCCTTGGAACGTCGCATTCTGCCATGGCTCTGTAGTGGAGGAGAAATCACGTCTATTTCCATCTGGAACCACACAACGGCATTAATAGGAGTGTTGTGCGGCGTTTACCCCGGCAAACCACAGCCGAAGACCGAAATCAATGCGACATCCGTGAGCCTTTTCTGGGGCTTTGAGTGGAGCACTGTGATGCTACGTGGGCAACTGAAAAAAGGGCACTTTTGTCCGGCTACGAGCTGCGTTTGAGCTCCTCGTCCGCTCCGCTCTTTATAAAGCGGTGTGATTTGGCTTTTTGACTTTTGTGGACAACTTTTATCATAATAGACTGCCGTATTCGGAGGTAATGGCAGGTCGAGGCCGGAGAGCGTGGTTCAGTGTTCTGCTTGGGCTGGTTGTGGGCTTCACGCTGGCCTCCAGACTCATCTTACCCCGGGCCACTGAGCTCAAGAAGGGCGGACACAAGCGGAGAGCCACCACCGGCGGCTGTGTACTGAACCGCGGCTCCAGAGAGGGCTACGCAGGAATATTATGGCCCACCGAGGAGAACAGCTCCGCGGCGACGGAGAAGCCAGCGGCTCGCTCCGACAGCTTCCTGTTTGTGGGGGTGATGACCGCGCAGAAGTACCTGAACACTAGGGCTGTGGCGGCACACAGGTACGGGGCTTTTGTCTGAGAGGTTCACGGCTGCTAAAGGGCCAACAGCTCTAGTCTCCTTTTTAAACTTTCTCTTGATTTTTAGATTAGTTAACTGCTTTTTATTGGTATTAAAATATTTCATCAACAGGTGAGCGTCTTGTGATCATAACATGGACCAACAAAAAATAGAAATACCACGATAACCTTCTAGCTAAGAGTGTTGTTACTCAAGTAAGAGTATAGAAGTTTGTTACTTCACTTAAAGTAATGGAAATAAGTCTCTGTACCTAGATGTACTACTTCCTCAAAATTTTCGTCTGAGTAGTGAGCTCATTATTACCCTTATTACTACTGGACCCATTACAAATGAAGTGGAAAAAACAGCAACACTTTTTTTTAACTTAGTTTAAATTTGTTGTTGTTATTAGTAATTGAAGTGTACATAACACAAATAAAATGTTAGTATGAAGATGAGTCAAAATTTGAAATAGTGGAATCCAGCTGAAGTGCAGTGCATTCTAAAGTGACACATTTTGTTACCCATCTGCACACTGCAATCTGACCAGAATAACCTGGAGGCCCTCATTATCTTATCTCCTCTGCCACCAGCTCCTCTCCATTCTATGCTTGTGTTTACAGGACATGGGCTCAGACCATCCCAGGCCGGGTAGAGTTCTTTTCCAGTGAGGGCTCGGACACCTCCATCCCTATCCCCATTGTGGCTCTGAAGAACGTGGACGATTCGTACCCTCCTCAGAAGAAGTCTTTCATGATGCTAAAGTACATGCATGACCATTACCTGGACCAGTACGAGTGGTTCATGCGTGCGGACGATGATGTGTACATAAAGAGTGAGCGCCTGGAGAGTTTCTTACGCAGCCTCAACAGCAGTGAGGCCATCTTCCTGGGCCAGACAGGCATGGGCGCGCGCGATGAGCTGGGCAAGCTGGCCCTGGAGCCCGGGGAGAACTTCTGCATGGGGGGCCCTGGGGTGATCATGAGCCGAGAGGTGCTGCGGAGGATGGTACCTCACATCAGGGAGTGTCTGCAAGAGATGTACACCACCCACGAAGATGTGGAGGTGGGCAGGTGTGTGCGGCGCTTCGCAGGGGTCCAGTGCGTCTGGTCCTATGAGGTCAGTACTGTGAATTCAACTGTTTGTGGTGTAGTGCTCAACCTGTGTTTGCCTTTAGATAGTAGAAAGTAGTGTTGCAGCATTATATATAGTATACATAATTCAAAGAAGAAAGGCTTAGATTTTCTATGTCTGATGACCTCTCTGAGCATTACTAAACATTGCAACCACACTGCATTCACACAAGCCATTAGGGGTGTGCAAATATATTGAAATATTGATGTATCACATCGTTTAATGTGATAACACAGTATTGATATTGTGGGCTGCCACAAGTATTTTTGGTACATTTAACTAAATTGTTTTTATTACAGAGCTACAGATTTGTTGCTTGTTTAGAGGAAGGAATCTCGTTTATGCAAATCATTTGACATGTTAAATACATGATTAAACTGGGTGTGTTTCATCTTCAGTTTGCATAAGAGGTAGTTTTACAAATACTTTAAATGCCATAGCCATGATTTAGCCATTATTTTTTATATAACAGTATCGAATTGAAATATACAGTATTGAACTGAATTAAAAGTGCACTGTATCGAGATAAGTATCGTATCGTGGCTTATGTATTGAGGTATGTATCGTATCGGCAACTTCTTAATGATGCCCAGTCCTACAAGCCATGATGAAGTGTCCTACCCAAGGACATAACAACATAATGAATTCTAGAGCTGGATTTATATCATTATATTACCTAAAAACCTGACGTTTTAGTTGAGTGAGCTTTTAATCTCAGAATTCTGTATTCAGCATTTCTGCCATCTACTTCAGTGTCCAGTCCTGACCCAACACTTTGGAATCATCTCTGCTGCTGAGTGTCCACTTCAGCTTTATGTGTGACAGAGTGCCTTAAGGCCCACTGCACAGGCCCCTGAGCATTCAGAGCCTGTTAATTTGTCAGTGTGTATGAGGAAGAGCGAGGGTGGGGACTGGGGAGCTGCTATTTCCATTTCTGTGGCCACAGTCTCTGACAGTACAGAGCCACACCCACAAACTAAAACAAAGCACAGGCAGCATCAAGGACCTCACTATTATATGTCCACTGTGTTCTTTACTTGTTTTAAAGGACATATATTGGTTCATGCATGTTTGATAAATCCTGTTTTGTCCAGCATTTAAGGCCTGAGAGCTCTGAAAACTCCACCTACCCCCATCTCCTACCAAACACTACCAAAGAAAGCACACATCTTTAAGAGTTTGGCCCCTGTTGTAGTGGCCCCTGAGCTTGAGGGCTCCTGGACAGTTGCTGCTGGTTGCTATTGGGGCCCCTCATGGCAGTGGTGACGACAGACATGGGTGTGAGGGCTTAAGCTGCCTCGATCCCATTAGAGCAGATTAGAGGCTAAGCTCTCTGATGTTTCTAGTTGGAGCAGGGGCATTCTTCCCACAGGATTGACAACTTGGCTATAAAAGTATGATCTTCCATCAGCTGTTACTTTGTTTAATACAATCCAATTGAAGAATGGAACTAAAAAAGAGGTGTGGGGTTATCAGAAGTAGGTCTATAAAATCAAATACTAATTATACGCAGGTATTGATACTAAAAAGTCTAATTAATAGGACAGAAATGAACCATTCCTGAACATCATAGAATGATCTTGAACTGTATCAGAATAACTATAAGATCACATAGACTGGTATACTATACTAATATGGTCTTATAGTTTTTGCACTTAGACCACTATGGAAGCTACCTGGACAATTTAGGGATTGTATATACTCAACTTTAAACAATAGTACTTTCTTTTCTGACATTGTATTTTCTAAATAAATAGTGTTTTTTTTATTATGTAGTAATATTCCTATACCTTAGCATCAAAATCAAGTTTAAAGTGTTAGTACTGTGACTACAAATACTAGAGTGGTTATTATTTTTTAGACCTAAATGTTTGTATTCCATGGTGGCCGGTTATCCGTTTGTGAATAGCATTATTTGAACTAGCTTCATTCTATGACATATTAACCATTTTTTGAGGACTTAATATTTATCCTTTATTGCACTACAGATTTCTTTTGTACTACAGGTGTTTATTTTTTTTGTGAGATGGTGGGTTATATTTTAAACGACTCACTAACACGGAAGTATTAGCAGCGGTATAGGTGTTATTACGGTAATTAAGATATGGTTTTGTTTATTTTGGAAATAATTTTGGAATGGTTTGCTTTCAGGTTACAATCATATGGACACAAATTGGTTGAAGCGGACAGTTTTTCTCAGAATTCACTCAGAGGCTGTCCTTGCACTGGTTAATGATTCGCTGCGGGTGCTCAGCTTTAGGTAGTGAGGATACAAATCAGAAAGAGCCCTTTTTAAATTTAAACCAACTGGATTTCAGTATTAGAACAGGTATAGCTTACTCATGTGATGCTCATTCTGCTTTCTGATTGGATTTTCATCTTGAGAACCAAAGCACCAAATTATAACAGATAAATAGGACATATCCAGTGTTTTTGAAGTTAGCGCTGATTTAGCATTGATTTAGCATTATTATAAGCTATATTTGATTTGATTAGGAGTCACAGTTTGATCATGTTTAAAAATCAAACTTGTACATACAGTTTCTTTTACTCTTGTCTGATATTTTGTTTTTGGATTAAGAACTCGTCATCTGAATATTGGTTTCGAGATTCTCCAAAACTGTGAAAACCTTTTTGTCAGTGTTGCCCACCCCTGTAAAAGCGATTTTCAGTATAACTCACAGTAAAACAATTTGCACTTCTATATTTATCACTGTCACAAGCCTAGATGGAAGTGTGGTTCAAATAGCCCCACTATAAATGCATGGAGCTGGGCTAAAACTAAAGCTAGAGCTGCTCTCTCTCCCATCCACTGCAGCCGCGCAGTACAGCGTTTCTTTGTGTGTAGTTCGGAGGTTACCCAGCCTGACCCTCTGGCGCAGGAGCACATGCTCTGCTCTGTTCTGCTCTGCTCTGGTGTGGGGTGGAGACATAGACATGGCTCTACAGCTGTGACAGAAGCTGCAGCTTGTGAGACACGATCACAGCCACCTCACAGACAGGACGTCAGGAATGCTCTCGGGAGATCCCCCTCTCTAAGCACAGCAGTAATGTAAACAGAGCTCAAGATAAGGTTGTGTCTTGTGATGTATTCTGTAATACAGAATACACCACAAGACACAACCTTATGTGTATTCTACATTACTTTGAGTCTATTGATTGTTAATAACTGGAACTGTAAACAGTCAGGTCAAGTTCATGAATACATTGTTGCAATCATGTTTCTTACTCTGTTAATTTAGAGTAGATGCCATCTCCTAAACGGATGCCTGTTGTGGCAAGCTTTAGCACAAGTCCCTTGTCTGTCCTTGACACAGCCCACCCTCCCCTGCCCCTGTCCCCTGTAAACACAAACATTGGAAAGGCAAAATAAGAGTTAAGCTGAGTTGCTGTTGTTGAGTCCTGCAGTAACAAGACTTTACCACTGTTATCTCTGAGATCAGAATCCTCACATTGCATTATATTCCACATAACTAAGATATGGTGGCATGGTTCCATTTCACACTTAAAAAGTAAATTTGGACTAGAAGTGTATTCATCAGGACATGTTTATTTTTAAATGATGGAATAAGTCCAGTAGTAAAGAGGGAGACAAACGTGTGTTTGTGTGATGTGTCTAAAACCAAGAGGAGAAAACACATGGTAGAATGCGACTCTTGGAACTAGCTCTCCGTGGCACAGGCTGGTTCCAAAGGACACACTGTCTGCTGTCTATTTGATAAATAGTTAAAACAATATTTCAAGGAGTTGGAACTGAAATCAGTATCTTTAAGATTCAGAAATGATGGGTGGACTGTATCTGAGGATTTTAATAAGTCTAACAATAATGCTACAGTGTTAAACCTTATTTTAAGTGCACAGCGTGCCATTAGTCAGGGTTGTTACTTTTAGTGTACTGCACTGTGCTTGGATGTACTGTAAAAAAAAACTGACTCAACAACTAAACACTGAATTATGACGCAGAAACAAGCCAGAACAGGTTTTACTAAAACAAGTTGAGCATTATTATTTTTTATCATGAATCAGTTTGGTTTGGCAAGGTTTATAATTTTTAATTAAATGTCAATGTGTTGTTCTCTCTCTGTACAGATGCAGCAGTTGTTTTACGAGAACTATGAACCCAACAAGAAAGGCTACATCCGTGATCTCCACAACAGTAAGATCCACCGTGCCATCACACTGCACCCCAACAAGAACCCACCCTACCAGTACCGCCTGCACAGCTACATGCTCAGCCGCAAGATCGCCGAGCTGCGCCACCGCACCATCCAGCTACATCGCGAGATTGTGCAGATGGGACGATACGGGGCTGGAGAACCCAGCCGTGAGGACCTGCAGCTGGGCATGCCCCCATCCTTTATGCGCTTCCACCCCAAGCAAAGGGATGAAGTGCTAGAGTGGGATTTCCTCACAGGAAAATACCTGTTTTCTGCCTCCAACGGCCTGCCCCCCCGCCGTGGCATGGACTCCGCCCAGAGACAGGCTCTGGATGACATCATTATGCAGGTGATGGAGATGATCAATGCTAATGCTAAAGCACGAGGACGTGTGATAGATTTTAAAGAGATCCAGTATGGTTATAGAAGAGTGAGCCCTCTCTACGGAGCAGAGTATGTGTTGGACCTGCTGCTACTCTACAAGAAACACAAAGGAAAAACTATGACAGTGCCAGTGCGCAGGCATGCATACCTCCAGCAAACCTTCAGCCAGATCCAGTTTAGAGAGGATGAGGAGATGGACGCCCATGCGCTCTCCAGCCACATCAATCAGGAGTCCGACTCTCTGTCCTTCTTGTCCAACTCTCTGAAGATGCTGGTGCCCTTCAAGCTGACCAGCTCAGGACAAGACCAGCGAGAGCCTAAGGACAAGAAGGTCAACATCCTGGTGCCTCTGTCCGGACGCTATGACATCTTTGTGCGCTTCATGGCTAACTTTGAGCGCGTATGTCTGATCCCCAAACAGAACGTGAAGCTGGTGGTACTGCTCTTCAACACAGACAACCCTGAGCGAGTCAAGCAGGTGGAGCTGATGAGGGAGTACCACATGAAGTACCCACGCGCCGATATGGAGGTGCGGCCGGTGGAGGGGCCCTTCTCCAGGGCTCTGGCTCTGGAGGTGGGCTCCTCACACTTCTCCAATGACTCCCTGCTCTTTTACTGCGATGTAGACCTGCTCTTCAACAGTGACTTCCTGAAGCGTTGTCGTGACAACACGGCTCTAGGGGAGCAGACATACTTCCCCATCATCTTCAGTCAGTATGACCCCAAAGTGGTGTACATCGGGAAGGTCCCCAGCAGCAACCATTACGTCTTCACCTCCAAGACGGGCCTGTGGAGGACCTACGGCTTCGGCATAGTGTGTGTGTACAAGGGGGACCTGGTGTCTGCGGGGGGCTTCGACACCTCCATCCAGGGCTGGGGGCTGGAGGACGTGGACCTGTTCAATAAGTTCATCCAGTCAGGAGTGAGGCTGTTCCGCAGCACAGACACAGGGATTGTACATGTGCACCATCCTGTGGTGTGTGATCCCAACCTGGACCCCAAGCAGTACAAGATGTGCCTGGGTTCGCGCGCCTCCTCCCACGGATCCACGCAGCAGTTGGCCGAGCTGTGGCTGGAGAAGAACCAGGGGGGCTACAGTCACAACGCCTCCACCCGGACACAGGAGCACAGGCTGTGAGACTAGATCAGAGTGTGGTACACACACACACACACACACACAGTCCAGTATTTCATTTCACGCTTATGGTACTGAGGACTTAAATATTATACATATAATCAATTAAGCTGGTATGTGCAAACCAGTTTTAAACACACAAAGATCCACATTCCTTTAATACTTAACTGTGTGTGTGTGACAGCCCATACACTGTCCAAGTGTATGGGCTGCGGGACAGAAGGCTCTGTCTCTGAGCTGTAACACACAGGTCTATTCTGCTTTAAGAACACTGAGTTCAGAACACTGCTGCATTTTGCACACACATTATTAGTGTTGCCTTCGTTTTCATCCATGATTCAGGAGCCACCAGCGAAGTTGTTTTGTTTTTTTCGCTGTACAGTGTCATTGTCTCTGGGAGAGCATTAGGTTTCACATGTGAAAGTGTGCTAAACAATCTTGTGTTAGCCTGAACTGTGCCACTCCAGGCCATTCTTCATTTTCTATTTATTTACAACTGTTTTGCTTTTAAAATGTATTTGTATATCTTTTTTAATTTAAGGAACACACAAAAAGCATTTTATTCACTACCAGTGAATTCCGAGGGCGCAAGTGTTTGAAAGGTTGACATTTTGACACGAGCTGATGCTTTATATGTGCTATATTTCCCATGAAAAATCCATCCAACAGCAAATCAAATCAACACAGACGAATGTATGGGGAATCCCAACCAACAGAAGTCCTGACCAAGAAATTAGTCCCACGTCTACCAGCCATAGAACGTAGGAGTAAGTTTAGGTCTGTGGGCACTGGGCTCTGTAAGAGGTGCTCACATGTGCCAGAAGTTAGTGGAATCTATGCAACACTAATAATATCAGCCTCTAATAGCTTTCTGTCACACGTGTTTCTACTAGGCAAATGCTTTTATGCCATGAAAAGAAGTTCCAAAAATAGGGATTTATTTGATTTATGTCGATGGGCCTCTACTGTTTTGAAAGAATTTGCTTGTTCACTGTTCATTGTTCATGTGTGTTCATATCTGACATATCTTTGGTGTAATTTCATGTCAACTCAGGCTTAAAAGTTTTTAATTCAACCCTAAAACATGAATGAATTCTGTCATACTATCCATTCCACTTGTTTTTTTACTGTTGACTTTAACTGTCTCTTTTCTACAATCACTGTTTTATTTTTACTATTTTTATTTATTTCAGTGGATTTATTCCATTTGGGAGGGCAGCTGCAGAAGCACTCCAGCTTTGTCAGACGGGGATGATGGTATCACTGTGCATTTCACAATACAATAAAAGCTTTATTCTGAAGCTGTGTATTTATTTACATAAAAACTGCTTTGTAAGAGCCTGGAATGACAGTTAAAAACAACTAATAGAGGGAATAGGTTCAAGTATTTTAAGAAAAGTTTTCATATATCATATAAGAATAATCTTATTATGTAGACAAGATGAACCAAAGGTGGAATGTCATTAATTAATTTTAATAATAATTTTAAGTCAACACAATTTCAGTCTACAAAGAAAAGTAAATATCTGACAAAAATCTTGGCTTTACTCTGAGATTTCAGTGGTGGCAACTGAAATTGGAATCATTAATATTATGCAAAATAATGTCTATTCTTTACACAATGATAATAAATTACTTCCTTGTTTCCACATATTGCTGCCATGTGGTTGAATGACAAATAGAGTTGCACTGATCTAATGTTCTACCAACTACATAGCAGATTTAAAAGATGTCTTTAGCTCAGAGTTACATAGGTATAATATTGCCTCCTAGTAACCAGTCAAAACTGTCACATATGAAAACATACTGATAACATTGGTCTGAAAAAATAATACATTAAAATAATTATACTGGAAAATAAATTACTGGAAGACTAAATTAACCTAATTGGACTAAGTAAAATGTTCATTATTGTTTAAAAAACACAATTCATAATTCTCCAACAGAAATGACCTACTAGTATCTTAAAGTGACCATATAAGACCAATTGACGACTCCTGTACAGGTTCTTGGGTCAGCTTTAAGGCAACAGAGCAACAGTCACAGCAGCAGATGGTTTGTCCTTCAGAGGCTGTGTGTGTAGCTTACACTTATGTCCATAATAAAGAGCAGCACACACACATCCCTGAGCCTGAGTGCAGTGAGTATGTAAACATAAGAGCTTGTGTACTGGTGTTCTGTCAGCGCTCTCGGCTCCTCCTCAGCCTGTTCTCCATGTGACCCAGGTCCTCCCAGCCACTGTAGAAGAGCTGGAGCTGCTGGCCGCCCCAGGCCCTCCACACACAAACAGTCCACTGAGAGAGGGTGTCCCTGTGGGCACACAGCACCGTGTCCTGGTCCAGTACAGAGGACACCTCCAGACGGCTGTGGAACACAACACTCATGTTACTCTCTGACTTATTATACACAGACAGTCTAATAGTATCAGGGGCAGTGAGGTGCATGTGTCTGCAGTGAGTGACCAGGTTAGCTTTACTGAGTATGACATCCAGGTCAGTAATGTCCCATAGTTTGTAGTAACTTTATATTGAACAAATCATTGATCAGACGATATCTGAAACATCCTCAGTGTGAATGCTGAGAGAAGAGGCCCTGAGGAGCACCTGTACATGTGGACTATGCCTCTGTCCTGTCATTAGGGGCCGTTCTGGGGCCCTTTATGACCTGTTTCCACAGGTCAGGGGTCACGTGAAAGCACACGCAGTGTCTTTGACAGAGTACAGCTGGGGCTGCTGTTAAACAGTAATGACAGAAGAGAGCTCCCAGTCTGTAATTAGGGTAATAAGTCACTCAGACTTGACTGATACTATTTAGATTTTTTAATTATACTTTTCCTGTGTAATTATTGGGATACTTGGCTCTCCACTTGATAGGTCTGACAGCTTTAGGATGTAACTCTGAGAAAAGTTGTATGACACTATTCTCTTGACTTGAATACTTCTGACAAACTTACCCAAGAGCAGCTCCCCCTGGTGCGCGGAGCACAGCAGTGACACGGCCACAAAGCTGTTTGGACCCCTGTGGTTGGGGCCCAGGCTGCAGCTCCAGGACTAGCACATCTCCCCCAAACCTGCATGAACAAGGACATACAGTTGTAATCTTTACTTTGCATCAGGAGGAGGCTAGTATAGTTATAGTATGTGTGTGTCACCTGGGGATCCACAGAGCTTCTCTGACACAGAGGACAGCGACGGCCTGGAGCTCAGAGCCAGTGAACACCATTTCCGTAGACTGCTGGTCCCCACACCAGTTGTTCAGTCCCTGGGAGGGTGAGGGGGGTCCGTTCAGGCTGGGCTCTGTGCTAGAGGGAGAGATGGACCCCTGGGGGCTGGGCCTGATGCTGCTGGAGGGTGAAGGGGGACCCTGAAGGCTGGACTCTGTGCTGCTGGAGGGTGAGGGGGGGGCCTCTATGTTGGACTCTTCTGATGTGACAGAGTCCTGAGCTTGAAAGTACTGAGCTCCAGCATGTGTGCTGCATATGCACATCAGGTCCATGGGCTGCTTCTTCTCAGCACTGGTGTCACTGGGGTCACTGGGATCATTGGGGTCAGTGGTGGGCACCCAGGTGGGGTGTTGTACAGGGAAGACATCCCTAAGCGGATTTCTATCTCCACAGCTGAAAACACACAAAGTGCATGGGTGATACCAGGCAGGCACAGGCCAGGTACAATTCAAGACCAACTCAAAACAATGAGGTGATAAAGGCGATACAGCCTGTTCAGAGCATGGAACTGGGGGTCATGTGCACATCGGCTCCATAGCAAAGAAATGTTATGCACCATGGTGTATTAGGTTTAGGTCTGACTGCACCTGAATTCCCAGACAGTTTTGGTCAGCACAGCTCTGAGCTTACATGCAGTGAGATGGGAACTCACCTAGAGGCACTTTCTCCAAGAGCACCTGTGAACGACCTGCTCAGCTTTATGACCCTTTACAGGACATTAGCTGTGGTAAACAGTGTGGTGCTGCACTTGTAAAGTTAATACAAAAGAACTGTTCTGGTGCTAATGGTGCACAATAAACAGGACAACACATAGGTGAGGTTTACTATACAGTACAGTCTGTCTCTGTTGCCTATCGTTCCAGTGTGCATACTATGTATGGGTTTGTTGGGACTGGATTTAAAAAGATGGTGATTTCTATCAAAACCAAGAGATGGCAAATGAAATCAGTAAATGGTGTTGACTAGATGTGAGACAAGTTCTCACTACATATTTGTTACAGTATAATAATATACGATATAATGTAATGAGTAGAGAGGTATTCTGGTGAGTGAGGAGCTGAGTATAGTAATGCGCTCTTCTTCTGGAGGCTAGGTCACAAATGATCAATAGGATGCTTGACAATATGTTTTTCTGCCAGCCTTCAGTCTACTGCTCCATCCTCTGGTGATCACTCTGTAACTGGTGTGATGAAAAGCTTAATGGGGCAGTGGTTGTTCTTGGTTGCATGTACTTGTTCTCAGTAGTACTTTTTAACATCTATTTGTACTCACCAGTACTTGGCACAAAGCTGGTAGGTGGCGGCATCATACAGCAGGACTGTATTGGTGACGTCATCCAGTACCCACACGGCCTCTTGTCCCCACAAACAGAAGCTGGTTGCCATGGATATGATGGCAGAAGGAGGAGTGTAGGGCTCCAGTCTTTTGATGGGCTGTAGTCTGAGACAGTCGATGACCAGGATGCCCGGCCCGTTGGAGTACCACAGCTGAGGAGCACAGGAGAGAGGGACATGAGAGGCTATTGTGAATGTGAAATCCAAAACAGCCTGAACTCACCTCCTTGTCCGGCCCCAGCAGGACCATGGCGCTCACAGGGTAGGCTTTCTGCCGCAGGTCCATTTCGTCCACGCCCAGGGCCTTGTTGATGGAGTGAGAGCAGAGGTAGGTCTCTCCGTCCAGTGGCAGGTCGTTCAGTAGACTATAGACCGCCACCAGGCCATCAGACATGCCAGCAAATACACGGCATAGGGTCTGTACATACACACAATATTAGCTGGACTACTAAAAACATATATATTCCTACTTAGGATATGACAATTTGGTTTTGTTGGAATTACTATGACTGTATTTTGAAGTGTCTGGTTTAAGTCACTGAAAGGTAATATCATCATTATCATTATCATTAGTTATCTTTGAAGGAGGGAGGACCTACGTAAAATATAGCAAAACGCTAGCCTCATAGGATGATTGATGACGTGTATGCAGAGGACAAATTTTCCTTTGGTGACAATAAAGTACCTTTCTTTCTATTTATTTATTTATTTATTCATTTTTTGGCTGTAAAGTGACTGGCTGAGGGTGGAGCCAGTGACACCTACAAATGCAGCTAATTCTGGGAGGACAATTACACAAATTTCCATTAACAAAATATATTTTTTATGATCGAGCAGCCCTTTATACTGTACTTATTTATTTTATCCTTCCTCTGGGCAACTTGAAATAACTTCAACTACATGCATTTTTGTAGTCATTTACATAATGTCACTGTGACAAAACAATAAATAAATATATATAAAAAAAAAAATATATATATATATATATATATTATTTTATTATTATTATTTTTTTTTTTATCAAAGATTTTTGGATTATGAATAAACTAATGATCCAGTATGGAAGATGGCTAATAGCATAGTAGTTCTTTGTTATTTGACAGGGCATTGTTTTAAAATGTTTAATTTTAAAAGTAAAAGTAATTTTTTGAAGTAAATATGAGTTTACAAACGTGTGTTCCAAAATACAGTGCAATAGCTGTGCATGTGACACATTGGTATTCACAAACCATTTTTGTAACAAGACAATGCCATCTAGTGGGAAGATCAGGGTTTGTCAGGTAAGTTTTGCACATTTTTGTTGATAGGGCAGCTATGAAATGGGGAGAGCAACTACATAACAACATAATATAATAACAAATTTCAATATTTCTTGTCATAATAATAATAATAATAATGCATTAGCTCTACACGGGGATTTGTTATGTGTGTGTGTTCAGACCTGCAGTGTGGGCGGTGCCAGGAGGAAGCAGGTGATGACGGCTGGAGAGGAGAAGTGCTTTTGGGGCTGGCTCAGAGGGCACATGTCCTTCAGGCTGTAGATCAACACCTCCTGCTCCTGCTCCCATGATAAAAAACAACAAATTGGATGACTATTCCATAGTCTTCCTACTCTCTCTCCCCCTCTGTTGGGTCTATACACATGTACCTGGGTGGCCATCCACAGAGAGTTGCCCACTTTGAGTTGGCAGCTGACTGGATCTCCTGGGCACAATATCCTCTTCACCTCCACCTGGCCTGTGTCCACATTCACCACACTGTAGTTTCTAGAGACAGAATGAACAAAATGGTCACTCATACAGGGAGTTATATTATACTGTATAATACTGTACCCAATTTTCCCATGCATTTCAGCAAAAGTTGTCTTGTCCCAGTGTAAATATATTGTATATGTAACCAGTCATCATTAGCTTTACTGTGACGACAAAACAACACTCTGGTTTCTGAAAGTTGAGAAAAGTGCTCATAAGCTCAGGCATAAATGAAGTGAAGAATAACATTGAAGCACTGAAAATAACAGTAAAAATTCTGTACAGTAAGGTAAGTGTAGGGATTATTTTCATTATTGGTGTATTTACAACACCAAAAACCTTGAAAAACATGCACTATTGTTGCGGCAGAGTTTGTCTCACCACAGATCTGACTTGTAACTTTTCTAGCACATGCACATGATTGGCTCTGAGGAGATGTTCTCATTTAACCAGGAACATTCCACAGAATGTCTTTAAACTAATGTCAGAAGTGATTAAAACTAATTTTGCATTTAGACTTGAGGTTTAGACAGCTGCAAACACAAATGCGTAAGAGTTGTTGAATTGATTTGAATAATAAGACAGTGAATACAAACCGTTCTTCTTTGGTCCCATCCCAGAACACGGCTGAGGGCCCCTGCAGTGGAGACAGGAAGAGCTGTGTGTGGGCCCCACAGGAGAGCACATACTTCAGACAGGCAAAGGAGGGCTCCCGCATCTCCTGCACACACTGTCCCGCCACTGGCCTCTGTAAAGGGACAACGCTACAGTTTAGCTTTCAAATCCAAATTAACATCCCAAATGATGCAGAACTTATTGTTTTTAGGAATCCAAAGGTATGTTTTAATGTTCACCTCATCAAATCATTCCCTGAGCTGTGTTTTGTTACAATCACACAAGTAATTCTGTATATTTAGTCTCTCGTCGAAACTCAAAACATTCTGTTCCTGTGTCTGGCTTGGATAATGTGAAACACAGGACCTTGAGAAGTGTCTGATTTCAGCTGTATGAAGGGCCACACCACATATTGCAGAAGTATCAATATCGGAATACTGACTAACACAAGAATTGATATCACGGCAAAGTAAAAATGTAGTAACACTAAGGTCAATCACCTTTTTTGCCTCTTATCATTTTGACAGAGTTTAATAGTATATTAAAGCATGAACATTTAGGTTTTAAAATAATTAAATCATTGTTACCATTGTCATATTTACCATTAATGTGTATCCCTAATTTTGTAAGTACATTGATTTACCTTCTCTGGCTTAGTGTCCCAGCAGCGCGTGAGGAGGCTCTGCAGGCAGAAGAACTGCACCTCCTCTGGTCGTCCCAGCGCAGGGCGGCAGCCTTTGGTGAGCTTCTTGGAGATCTGCAGCTGGTGGTTCCCCAGAGCTGGTCTTTGTCCAGACAGAAGCTCATACAGGACCATGCCATAGGAGAACATGTCCACCTGAGAATGGAGAATGCAGAAGTAACTTTATAGTGTGCTTGGTCAGAAAGTTTTGTTTACTGTTATATTCATTCAAGTTACACCATTTGTATATCTATTTATACTCGAGTCATGAATATTAGTGAATTTTAGTTCCTCTTCATCTTATGATCAAGTCTTCAAATGACTTTTGTGTGTAAAATGTGTATAATTTGTATTAATCAGCATCACATTATTATTAGACATAAATTAAAACATAAATTATTGCAGTTATTTCATACTTTACAACTACCATCTGCTCTTTTTCCTTGTTTACAAATGTTTTCTCTTTTTTTCAAACTAATATGATTAACTTCTACTTTTATCATTTGTATCACAGATATACAGTAGTGTTTTGCTTTTATTATATGGATTATTGCTATTGATGTATCTTGAAGACCCCCCTATCCAGTCACATTTTATCCTATAAGTTAGTGTGTCTCAATAATTACACTGCTAAAAAAATCTTACATAAATAATATGTGCTTCATTTAAGTAGTATGTGTCTTGGTGTATATTTTGACTGTCGTAGAAACAAAAAAGATTTGCAAATAAAACATGTTTAAAGGTTGTATAGAGGATTTTCCAAGGAACGAGAAATCCAGCGACTGTTTGTCCTTTTTCAAATGTTGCGCATGCGTGAAACCCCCCCCCCTATGTAGAAACGCCTCCTCCCACCTCCTCCTTATGCCAGAAACAGGTTTGTTTACAGCCGGTGCGCTGCACATGACTTGTAAACAACTAACTACAGTGTTGGTTAGGCAAGGTGGAGAAGTGAGGAGCGGGGGGAGCGGGTGCGCGGACATTTCGTGCGCGGACGAGAAGTGAGGAGCAGGGAGAAGAGCGGAGCAGGGAGCAGGGAGAGGAGAGAGGAGAGAGGAGAGGGGAGCGGTGCGCAGAGATTCCGTGCCCGGAGAAGTGAGGAGCAGGGGGAAGAGCGGATCGGGCAGCGGGGAGAGGAGCAGGAAAGGGGTGCAGAGAAGAGTGCGCGGAGATTCAGTGCGAATGAACTAGCTACAACACGCAGCAGCAAGCTGACTCTTTCTTTGCCTTGAAAATTACGTTTTCAGACATAGGATATCGCTTTCGTGTCCTGAAAAACGTTTGACTAGCTCTTGGAAATAAAGTACGTTTTCATAATAAGCAGAAGTGACCTGTCCAGGAGTAATTTGGCGACCAATGCGTCAGTGTTTAGACCCTGCGTCTGCTTCAGTCGCACCATCGCTGGAATGAATCTTCAAGAATCACCTTAGTTTGGCTTCGCTGCTTTTCCCCTTGTCTTCTTCTTTCAGCGACCTCAAAAACGGACTTTCTTTTGCGGCTAACTGCTCCTGGATTCTTGTCGCCATTGCAACAAACTTTGTGCTAACTGCGAGGAAGATATAGGTCAAAAAAAGCCGCTAAGAACTGTTGCGTTGGTGGAGTAAACAGCGTCTGTGCGGCTTGCGTCTGTGGACTGCGTGACAGGCGTACGCAAACCACGTACCGGCGGCGCGCAGGCAAGTCAGTTACACTAGAAACGTAGGGAGTTTGATTGACAGCCTGTCAGCTAACAGATAACGAGGCAGTGTCGTTATCTATTGGCAAATGTTTAGCCCCACCACGTCCAGAGTTGATGAATTTTTATTCTCTTTTTTTTGGTCATCATAATTACAAGGCTACTGCACCTCTATAATGCTATCATTGACAATTTGAAACAAAAAAAAATCCTCCATACAACCTTTAAGTTAATTTCATATTTCAAGAGCAGTAGCATTTTTCTCCTCCTTTCAAGTGAGATAATAGATTTTGTGCTTGTACTATTGGCAAATCTTATTTTAAGATTTAAGATTTAAGTCAAAATGTACTCAAATGAGATAAATACTACTTACTTCAAGCACTTAATAAGTTATTATCTTAATAGCGTATTTTTTGTATGTTAGTGCTATATGTTTAACTTTACAGACCTTTTCATCGTAGACAATGCCTGGGCGGATCTCTGGGGCCTGGTACCCCGGGGTCCCTTCCACTCCCAGGGCCCCCTCACGGAACGACTGGCGTGAGATGCCGTAATCAGAAAGCTTTATGTTTATAGGTTCCTGCACCTAGGAATTCACATAGTCCATATTATTAACAGCAATCAAACTCAGTAGTGTCTGTGAAAAGGGTCCACCCACCTTCAGAGACCACACCAGGATGTTGTCAGACTTCAGGTCACAGAAGATGATGTTTTTCCGGTGCAGATAGGCCAGTCCAGCCACGATCTGATAGGACATTTTAAAGGTCAGCATGTGGCCAAGGGGAATGAACTTCACACCTACAAAGACACAATAGTATTTAAAACACTTGCAAAACTGCTAATTCAGAGCTCAGAATACAAATGACAGAAATTACACTGTGAGCAAAATTACTGAATGTTGACATCTATCCATTACACAAAAATAACAAAAAAAATGTTCACAGAGAAAACTAAATCAATCATATCTCTTATCTTAAAGGTTGTATGGAGGATTTTTTGTTTGTTTCAAATTGTCAATGAAAGTTCAAAATAGAATTATAGAGATGCAGCAGCCTTGTAATTATGATGACCAAAAAAAAAAAAAAAAAAAAGAATGAAAGTCCATCAACTGTGGACAAGGTCGGGGTAGATAAACATCAGCCAATAGATAACAAGGCTACCTCATTTTCTATTGGCTGTTAGGTTGTCAATCAAACTCCCTACGTTTCTAGCGTCAACGACTCGCCGGCGCGCTGGGATTACGTGGTTTACGTTCGCCTCTCACGCACTGATGCCATTTACTCAACCAGCGCAGCGGTTCTTGTCGTCTTTTTCGAACTGTAGCTTCATCTCAGTTTGCACAAAGCTTGTTGTAATGGCCGACAAGAATCCACGACCAGTTCACCGCAAAAGAAAGTCAGTTTTTGATGTCGCGGGAAGAAGAAGAGAAGGGGAAAAGGAGCAAAGCACAACATTTAAAAAAGGGCAAACAGTCGCTGCATTTCTCTTTCCTTGGAAAATCTTCTATACAACCTTTAACTCTCAGGTTAAGTAAAACTCTCCAAAATAATATTGTTTAGAAAAAAAAATAATAATATTTGAAAACTAACTCATTTAATTGTGTTAATTCAAATTTATATTTCTGAAACTTTATAAACTGACATTCAGCCCAATTGTAGTTCTAAATATGTTACCATAGAAAAAAATCTACAGCTGTAGGACTATTGTGCTGTCAAAAATCACAAAAGACTGAAAATGAATGTATTTGTTAATACAGTAAACTGGCATTATTTGATTTTGGATTAAAAAAAAAACCAAAAAAAAAAATCTTACCAGATCTCTTGTTGCTCTCTTCCAGCACAGTGTTGAGGCTGCCCAGAGGGGCCAGCTGCAGAGCGAAGCACAGGGGGTGGATGCTGATGCCAAGCAAAGACACGATGCAGGGGTGGTGCAGGGCACGAAGCATGGATGCCTCCTGACGGAACTCAGAGAAACTCCGACAGGCATCTGCAGATTGGAGGTGCCTCAGCATGGTGTCTGTGGAGAAGAACCAGCAGAGGAGAGAGTTAGGTCAAGGATGGGCAGGAACACTGAAAAATCTCTATCCACAATCCTGACATTTGACATCACCTCAACATCATCATAATATTACTAAATGAAAATGTTAAAACATGTGGTGCAAAACTACTTGAAAATGTGCGTGCATCTTTTCTACTATGTATTTTATGTTTGCTTTGTGTATTGTGTTTTTACTTTGTTGTGATTGTTTTTTTAAAGGTTTTAAAATATATATATATAAATAAAGATTATTATTATAAAACAAAAGATACATTTATGGATATTGATACTTTTAGTGTCTTCTATAGCTCTATGTCTGCTGAATGAATCTGATGAAAAAAGTTTGGACGCACCCCTATGCAAGGTGAACTGAAATGACATTCAACTTGCATTGTTCTACAATGCACGGCTGCTCTCTTGTGGTAACACAATGGCCCATCCAATAATGTGTTCTGGATATCAGATCAGTAAAAGAGTTCCCGCACAAGGATTTAAAATCATTCTATATACAATTTGGCTGCCTTAATTAGGTACAAAATCAAAAGTATAAACTACATAAATTTAAAACTGTTCAAGTTAGTTTAGTTCAAGTTGTTAAGTAATTAGTTAAAAAATAAGTAAAACCAGAGGGCAGTAGTAGCACATCTTCCCACCTTGTCTGTAAATGAAGATATTGTAAACGTAGCTGCTACGGAAGCCACGTCATATAAGTATAAGCTTGAATAATAATGAAAGTGATACCAGTGCTGGAGCTGTGTTTTTTGCCAAACTTCCTGAAGCTAAACATCTTGAGGGCCACAGGCTGAGAGCGGTACATTGCACGCAGGATGGTGGTCCCACTGCCCCCCTGTCCCAGGACACTGCTCTCTTCCTCAGAAAACTCCAGTTCTGAGGTCTGCAAGAACAACCTGACGGGTACACAAGCACACAGCATTTGGATCAGGGATTTTTCATACAATATATTTAATAAACATGGAAATATTTTAGTATATCCTTTTGACAATTTATTTTCCTCTCCTCTCTGCTCTACGTCCCCACAAACGAGACAAATCCTTCATTTATCAATTAAAGGTGTATTATGTAAGTTTTCTGGTGACATCTACGCTACCCATTTGCATCCATAGAGATGTTCTACTATATGGCATTAAGCCTACCTGTCTCCATGGAGACAAGCAAATGATGCCAGGTCAAGTAACAGATCAGGGGCCTCATTTATAAAGCGTGCTTACGCAAAAATCCTTGCGTACACGCTCTCTACGCTAACCGCGGTATTTATGAACGTCGACTAAAGCGTGGCGCTTTGCTTAACTCTATGTCAACTCGGGACCTCCTGTAAGCACTACGCAAAGTTTGGAGACATGGGGAAAAAGCAACACTCATGGAGAGGAGCAGAAGTGAACAGAGTTTGAGGAAGTGTTTGATCAGAAAATCCACGTATATATAAGAATTACCTTAAGATTTGTGCATTTAACTGTTTGGTTTGCCAAAACAGGGAGAAGGGCTGTTTATTCCACTCATTATTCTCCACAATATTATACATTTGAAACTCGTGCACGAGTCTCCCACAGTCCACACCGTGACCATAGACTTCTATAGAACACTGACTGTGACCAACACAGAGGACGAAATAATGACCCGATCTGAGAGAAAACTCTTCCCTCCAACGCAGCAGGAGCCAGGCTTTGATTTAATGAAAACAACTTTAACACTTTTACTTTATTTTACACTGAGTGCAGAGTGGCCTGAGTCTGCGCACGACATGAAGTCTACTGCCCAAACCTGACCCGAACCCAAAATCTTCCCTACATTTTTGTATAATGGGGAACTCTTGCACATGAAAGCTGCTCTCTGACAGTATGAAGAACAGAATAATACCCGTGCCCGTCCCGACCCAGCCCACGCACTCAGAGGTCAGACCCAGACCCAGACCCACATTCACAGGTGAGCAGTTTGGATGTTTCGTGTGGACTTTATTTGGTAGAATAACATCTGTATCTGATGTGTTTCGTGCTAAATCTGTGTCCTCGTATCCTCGTGTCCCTCCCTCGCTCCTTTCCCTCTCCAGGGGAGGGCATCTGAATCTCTCGCACGCGCTCAGAATATGACCATTCAGATCACTACGTGCACGTATCTACGTGTATATGCATATATTTATTTATTAAACCTTGTTTAAGTCTTTGAGGTGATCACGTGGTGCTGCGTGGAGCGTCCCCCTCCCTCTGTCCCACGTGTCTCGGTCAAACCCACTGATTATCGGCTCATGTTTCGGGAAATCTCATTCACCAGTCACTTTACATGCTCCTTTTAAGGTGAGGTGGAGGTGTGGAGAGGGCGTGACGTGACGTGGGTTTACGTGCGCAAATTCTAGATGCAGATGGGATTTATAAAGCAAAGATTGCATGGTTTGGTGGGTTTTCTAAATATGGAGTTTGCGTGGCGCACGCTTCTCATGGCTACTAGGTGTAGGCACTAACTTACCACAACTCCTGTGCAGTTTTTTATAAATGAGGCCCCAGATCTATGGAGAGGACACTTAGCTTGCTGTAAGCATAAGTGTTTTTCGAGGTATTTTAGCAGTCAATTTCTTGTAATTGGATAAATGCAAGATAGACTAATGCAAGATAGATAGACTAAAATAAAATTTGTATTCTTTGGTTTGTTCAAAATGATTACCGTGAAGGAAAGTCGGTCATGAAGAACTCAGGGACCAGCTCCTGCAGGAGGACGGGCTGCTCCGGGTGCTGGGGACAGACAATGCTCTGACTGTCCACAGCGGCTAACACACAGTCCTCCATACTGAAGTAATGTCCCTGTGCATGCTCCTCTGTGCCAGGGGGGCACAGGGGACAGGGGGCATACTGCTCTATCAGGAGGCTGCCGTCGCTCTCAGTGCCAGTCAAAGCTGAGGAACACAGAAAACATTGTGGTCAATGATCAAGCCAAGCAGACAGTGAAACCTTTACCACATGCATTTCAATCATTTATTATTTTTTTTCAGTGCAAAATTATTTATGATTGACTTATTAAACTACTTTGGGCACATAAGCCTTGGTATTTCCAATTGTAAACATTTAAAATGCGTTACCTCTATAGGCCTCATTTGGAATGATATTGATTTGTTTATACTAAACTAGAAAGCAATGAAACAAGGAAGTAGTGAAAACGAAAGCAACTTCATTCTGACAAGTTCAGAGCAAATCTGGCAAAGGCATATGTTTGAGGTCTGGAGTGGAGGAAGACTAAATATAAAGGGTTACTCAACATGTGTGAATGAAATGAATCAAATAGGCAAGTATTTGAAGATGTGGTGAATTCCTCCTGAATTCCTTAAAATACCAGGACTTGAGTTGCTATCAAAATGTTTCTGGATCAGTATTTGTTACCTATACTAAGTGTTTTCACACCTCCACTCAATTTACACCGCAATCTCATTTACATTTCCACACAGACGGTAAGAATGAGGTGTAGCTTTTGGTCTGTGTTGCTATAGTGCAGAGAAAAACTGACCGGGGAACCACTGCTCGATCAGAGAGTTGACGTGATCAGTGATGAAAGCCATGGCAGAGAAGTCCCTGGTCTCAGACTGACAGCTGATCCGGATCCCACCACTCTTCTTCCTCTTCCAGTCCACCTCAGCAGACTCCACACTGAGCAGGTGGTACATGTGATATTAAATTTGGATAGGATTAGGAATGAGTACATCAGAGTGACAGATCATTTTAAATATTTTGGAAAAACAAAGCTGGGAAGGCCAGATTAAAATGGATGAGGGTCAGAATATCTTTTATCTTTTCTGTTTTATGAAAGCATTATAGTTGAAATTAAATAATAGTGTCAGTGGCTTATAGGCCTTTATCAGAACTATTTTAAAACAAACAACATTTTAGGGAATTTTCTCATATATCGCATGATCAATCACAGAATCACAGAACTGTATGAAAAATACTGTCATTTCATCATATCTACTATAAAACCAATGCAGTGCAAAATGTGTTTTGTTTGATTATTTTTTTTTTAGTTTGTTTTTTTGGTTTGAGACAAATCATAATAGCTTGAGGGTGGTACCTGTAGCTACACCAGTTGAGGACCACTGATATGTATGACAATGTTTATACTTCAAAGAGCACTTTAAAGGGATAGTTCAGATTTTTTGACATAAATCTGTATGGCATCCCCGTCATCAGTGTTGTGCATCCACACCGACTTACCCCCGAAAGCGTCCGGTGAGCCGAGATACTGGCCCGTTTTGGTGCTGAGGAAAGTAGTTCAGCAAGTTGTGTGGGGACTGTATACTAAAGCGTTTTTCTTCTCAAAGCAATATTTGTTAAAAAGAGTGGTACATTTGCATCACAAAACATTCGTCGCCAAAAAAGTCAGATCTCATAATCGCTTGGAGCTATTTTCTCTCCGTACGTACCACTGCGCGCGGCCGCCAGGTGACAGCCGCGCACCAATCCATCACTTTCTTCAGTTGTTCGGCAGTGTTTACATGCACAGACCGCCGCCACGCGAGAGAGCTAACGAGAGAGCTAGAGCCATAAGTATATGAGCCTGGTTCACTTTGAACTTTGAGAAAATAGCGCCAAGCGATTATGAGATCTGACTTTTTTGGCGACGATGGTTTTGTGATGCAAATGTATCACTCTTTTGAACACATATTGCTTTGAGAAGAAAAACGCTTTAGTATACAGTCCCCACACAACTTGCTGAACTACTTTCCTCAGCACCAAAACGGGCCAGTATCTCGGCTCACCGGACGCTTTCGGGGGTAAGTCGGTGTGGATGCACAACACTGATGACGGGGATGCCATACAGATTTATGTCAAAAAATCCAAACTATCCCTTTAAACAAGCAGAACTAAACCTGGTCTAGACCAGGACTAAAGCCAAACTAGATTATAACCAAACCAAGAAAGCAGCATAACTGTTATGTCAAATAGATGATGGTGGATGGATGATCATAAACTACTGTAAGATACTACATATACACAGAGTGCCATATTGTACCTGAGATGTCCTCCATGGAAAGTGACGAGCAGTCCCTCCCTCCAATAAACAGTCTGCCTGCGGCGCACTCTGAAGGTGCTGCAGCGGCTCCTCTGTAGGGCCCCTGCAAAACTGTACATGACGGAGCCTCTGCTGCTGCTTTTGGGAGAGTGTCTGTGGGGCTCAAACGACTGCACAAACACAACAGCACAACATGGTACATTATGCTTTTGTAGAAAATGTGTAGGCATGTGTTTTAATAGGTTGGACTCATGGTTCAAGAATTCTCAGTCATAAATTCAGTTCATAGATTCAAAAGGTAGGTGTCTTCACTACTGACTGAATCACGGTCTCCATGGACATGCTTTGATGAGATGATTACTTTGCCTGGAATGTTCTACAGTATGGCATTAAACTCAAACGTACAGGTCCGATCTGTGGAGAAGTGAGCCCACTTATAGTAAAAAGACAATTCAGCGATACAATTTAGCAAATTAATAAATGCAAGACAGATATGTTTATGCCATATTATGGAAGATTCTAGGAAGAGCAATATCAGCCTTATGTTCCCTCATCACAAACACAACTTAAGAGGTTTTATATGTCATCCACGCATGTTTGCTACTGTTGGAATCTCTCCTGGACTATTCAAACCTTCCTTACAGTTAGCAGTATGATTCTGGGTGATAGTAGCTCAGTTGGTAGAGCATTTGTCCACTAATCCATAGTTTTTCATAAGACCCAAAAATCATAAATATACACCATAATCCATTTCCCAAACTCTGTAACTGAACTGTCTGAAAGGCAATATCTAACAAAGTGTACTAGCCTTCACTTCAGCTCAGTTTAACATTGTTTTTACTAACAAATGAGACTTTAATATTGTAAAATGCTGGTGATCATCATATCCAATTTAGTACACATGTAAATTTGCCTTGTGAGGACAGCTCTCTACCTGCAGGTCCATCTCCGTCAGGCTGATCAACATCCGAGCAATAAACCTCTCCCAGAAACCCGCGGGGACGAAGCTCATCTTGAAGAGGCGCTGGAGCGTGTTGGTGGAGGCCTGCTGGAGGGTGTGGATGTCCAAAGCGGGTTTTGGCGGGAGCAGGTGGGGTAACAGGTACCTGAATAACAGCGTGGGAGAAGAGCCATGAAAAAATCTGATTCGCTCTTCATGGGCCAGTCATACAACGTAAAGATTCCTGATTCTATATTACTGATACTTTACTAAAGTCCCTCATATTAAAGTCTAGTATCTTACTGGGCCTTGTACTTCTATATGCTGAAACACCTCTGGTTGTTTTGATCATTCTGTGGCCTTCATGAATTTTTAAGTTAAGTTAATGTGCAGTTTTAAGGGAATAACAGTATTTTTTAAGCTTTAAGATGAACATTTTATAATACAGAGTTTTTTTTTTACTTTAAATTTTGTACAATTTATTTCACTCACTCATTATTAATACTACATTAATATACTATAAAAACTGTAGAAAAAGATGAATAGCAGTAATGCATTACCCATTTTTGGCAACGGGAAGTGCAATCTCAAATTTGGCCAAAAATTGAAAATATTGTTCCTCTGTCTGCTGAGTGAAGCCCGTTCCCACGAGCAGCTCCTACAAACAAGAAAATGAATGAATTACTCATTTTCACTGGCAGATGAGAAAATGCTTATACAGAAATTAAAGGGCCTATTTCACGCTGTTCTCTGATCTACGTTATGACGTTGTTTCCTCATTAAAAACATAGCTGGAGTTGTGTTTTGATTCATTCACACAAACCCTGCATATTTAGGCTGGGTTCTTCTCTCAGACTGAAAACACTGTTGCATCTTGTGATGTCATGTGGATGTGTACTCCACTGTGTTTTTAGACTGTATACACCTTCACTAGAATCATTTAGAATTGCCAAAATCTACTGAACTAAAGGTTAAAAGTAGTTGTTAACTTGAAAAATGTTGCTTAACGACACCACAAGGCAGAACAGAGATTTTGAGCTTTAGAGATGTACAGATTAATGATGCAGGATTACGTGTGTGAATGAAATAAGCGACAACTCCAGGTATGGTTTTGATGACATAACAGCTAGGGGGTGGCACGGTTCGGTTCGTATTGCGGTTTAAGGTCACGGTTTTCAGTTCAGTACGGTTCTTGTTGTCATTTTTTTCTTTTTAATCTTTAATCTCCAGAAATATACTTTATCATATGTTATCTTAATTATCCACAATTTAGGATACAGCATTTAAAAAGTAATAAAATTATAGTTAGTAATGTAATCATGCACAAACTGAATATGACTTGACTTTAAGCACATTATTATTGGACATAGGCAGCTGTTGTGCTTCAGTGAAAAAATGTTACTGCCTTCCTAACCCTCCTCAGGAGTCGGGATACTTGGTTTAGTGAGATTGCGCTCTTGACTGCAAGGTTAAGGGCCTAGCTCCACTGCATGTGTCACCGTTTACTTGCATAACCTCACAAAACCACAGCCACGTGTCAACGCAAAGGCGACTCCACCGGCAGCTGCAGCAGGACATACACGCGCAGCACCGGCTCTGTGTTTGTCAATGGGAAAAACGATCGAACTTGACTGGGCGCATTTAGCCACTTGTATCAGGTCCACAGTGAAACTAACAGCTGAACAGACTTGTATTTACCTTCTGTACAGGCTGACCAGGGCAAACGCGAGGATTTCAAAAGTAAATTTTAAAGCACTCATTAACAGTCTTTCTGGACCTGGGCTCTTTCACACAACACAGATCTGCCCCAGGAGCACATTGTGCTGATGGTGAACACACAAATACAACAATAGATGCTCTCTGTGTATTTTGATGGGGATACGTGCCTACGCTCACGTAGAGCGTCAAAAAATAGAATGGATCCTATTTTCTGAAATCTACGTGCGCAGGACGTGCTGCTCCATATGCGCGTCTAGCGCATACAATGGAGCCGCCCTCATTCACTTTCCATGCAGTTGCAGTTTTTCGCTCGCGTAGGGCGAAATACGCATGCCAGGCCCTTAGGACCTGGCTCCACTGCATGGCTAAATGCGCCCAGTCAAGTTTGACATTGACAAACACAAAGCCAGTGCTGCATGTGTACGTCCTGCTGCAGCTGCCGGTGGAGCTGCCTTTGCGTTGAGGCGAGGCTGTGGTTTAGCGAGGTAACGACACGAGTGCATCCACCATCTCTGGCGCACAGCACCCACCCTCCACACCTCTTCTTTTGAGCCAAAGCGACACAGGTCACATACAGGCACGAGGCTACAATGCGCAAGCCAGGAACCGTGGAGACCGTGCGGTACGCACACGTCCCAAAGCATGACAAGCAAACCAAATAGGTCGGGGGTTTTTTATGAACCGTGCCACCCCTAGTAACAGCATTAAAACATGACTTAAAGCTCACAAGAGTCAATTCTGCATAATATAATAGGATCTTTAAAACCAAACTTTTGTTATTAACCTAAATAATACCAATAGGATTAGCCGCACATACCCGCAGGCTCTCCGTGCTGATCACTCCGTTCCTGATGACAGTGCGTGTAGACCTGAGATCCAGAATGCGTTGCAGACACTCGGACAGCCACAGCGGACACAGGAAGTACAGGGTGCACAGGCCGTGGCTGGTGTCCGGAAAGTGCAGCAAGGTCCCAGTATCTATCAGGAAACCGATGGCTGCAACCCACAACACACCAGCGAGCATTCAATCAAGTGTACTATGAATGCAACAGAATTATGTAAATATCTATTAAATACCCCCGCAGTACTACAATGTATTAATACTGTCAAAAAAGTATACCCAAATAATTTTGAAACTAGGTATTGATTTGACTCAGAGTTATCACTGAAAGTAAAAAAAAGTATTCTTTGTTGAATATTGTATTATATTGGACCTTAAGATGGAAATAATTAAGAAACTCAGAGTTGTATGTAGCTCTAAAACATTCATGTCTATAGTTTATTAAGCATGTGAGTTTCTTTTTTCTTGAAATCCGGTTAGAACTTGTGGTTTTATGACAAAATTTTCACTTCAGTGTGGGTGGGATAGCAGTATTAGAATAAAATATTATTACTGTCATATTTTAAAAGAATTTGTCATATTTTAAAATATTTTTATTTAATAGTAAAGTTAGTGAAGTTATTAGTAACAGTAACTGCTTCTTCTTCTATTATATGTTTTTTGGCAGACTAAAAACAGTCACTTTTTTGAGTTAACTGAACTGAAACCGAGCAAACGCCTGTTAGTTCCCTCTTCTTCTTAGTGTACATCTGCAGCAGACTGATGCATTAGGGTAAAGTTTATATATTTTTAACACCCACAGAGACCTTCCTATTTTGCAGCATCAATTTAACATTACAATTAAATAGTCTATTTAAAAACATTGACTAGTGAAAAAAGGAAGTGAAGTTTTGTTTCCTCTTCATTTGCTCCCGTTTACAGTGGACTATTCAAGAAATTCTCACTCATTCTGTAGTAGGTTTAGTCATGCATGTTATATGCATGTCCTTTTGGCTTTAAAACTCATATCTCAAGACTGCTATTTTCTGTACCAAGTGTTTGTTCAGAAATTGGTGAAGTAGCATTTCAACTGTATGCTAATTTATTTTTTAAAACGTGAAAAAGAGCCCTCAATAGGACTTTCCTGGTTAAATAGAGGTAAAAAAAAAATAAATCACTGTGAAAATAACAATCATATTTCCTCATGTACAAAAATTCTTGAAGAGGTCAAAACATTGAAGACAGCAAAAATCTGTTGAAGCAACTTAGGCCAGACTTAAAGTAACTAAAACCATGCTGTACCAGTCTGGAGGTCCTCATAGTCGTGCAGGTCACTGTCTGGGCTCTGCTGGACCAGGCTCTCCAGTTGAGTGTCTGTGAGATACTGCACCTGCCCTTCTGACCTCCTCCTGACCTTCTCCAGGATCACAGCCTCCTGCAGCTTTAGGTAGCTCTGTGGGATCTACAGAAACACCATCACATAAAATGTAAAGAGAAGAAATGAAGATGAAGACCAGTTGTCGTATATTGTAACCCTTCGTGAAATTTACTGTATCATTCTTTGTCTCTGTTTATAGATAAAAATGCTATTGTTATATTTGCACATGACTAATTGTTAAGAAAATATTTACTTTTAACTTAATTTGTACTTTTTGGACACACAAAAGTTTCTTCACTACTGTAGTATTAATTCACTCTGCACAGTGCACACATTAAAGTGGCTCTAGCAAATTTTTCAGGAAAATTTGTTATGTCCCAGTACCAATAATATATATATATATATATATATATATATATATATATATATATATATATATATATATATATATATATATATATATATATATATGTGTGTATGTGTGTGTGTGTGTGTGTGTGTGTGTGTGTGTGTGTGTATATATATACACACACACACACACACACACACACACACATATATATATATATATATATATATATATATATATATATATATATATATATTTTATATATAGTGCAACACTATCAAGCAGAACAGACAGAGCTCTGTAACTGCATGTATGGTGAACATGCTGAGCTCACCAGTCGTCCAATGAGCTTATACCCCCCACACGGGCTGATGTCCTTCATGGAGACTGCCACATGGAACAACAGCTTCCTCAGGTCATCCACTCCCTCCAGAGTCTTACAGGACACCTCACTGTGGAGAACAGTACAACCATCTTTCACTGTTCAGTAGATTTTGCAATGACATGTAATTAGTGTTTTGAATGTAGATTTTGTGCATCCTAAAGAAGTCACTGAGCCTTACCATTTATGAAGTGACTGAAATATGACAGGCCATTGTATACAGATGAAATAAATATGACATAATTTGGGTTTGATTGTGAAAAATCATGTTACCATACTCCAAATTCGTTTAACTTCAAATATGTGACAGACTTTAGATAGTAGGTCATTGTGGGATAAATGTTCAAAATGACTCTTGTGCAGCCAGAAGAGTATAAATGAGCCTTCACACCTCTGATACTTACTGGATGTTTTTGCAGGTGATGTCAGGGAATCCTGTGGCCCTAGCCCCAGAGGGAGACCTGCACAGAGCCAGCACATAGGCCCTGAGCGTGGCCATCCTCTCTGTGCGGAAACGTGCGTCGATCATGTCCAGGTGTGTCCCCACCACCACCACCGCCGAGTTTGGAGCACGAGCCTGAGGTCACACATCAGAGAGTAGGAACTGATATTCTGAAGTATTTACACCCCTGTCTGGTTATAAGTATGCACAAGCACATAAATGTACAAAGGAACATGAAGGTGCAAGAACTTGTGAGAGAGGAATGACGCAAAGCACAGCTAGAGTTAAAGCTTAAAATAGTCTGCAGTCTTCGTTTAACAATGACTGCAAACTGTCAATGTGTCCTTGGGCAAGACACTTTAGTCACTTTGATTAGGCCTACCATTATAATAACTATATTGATATTGTTCAGCTGGAAGAATATATTTTGCAGAGTATGTTCTGTGACTAATTATTGCTTCATTTTACCATTTAAAGGTTGCAGGTCATGCCTTTAAGGACTTTAGTTATTGTTTATCACAGTATTTCAACCTGGAGAGCCTCAGACAGACACAAAGAGAAAGTATTAGTAGTTTCATTGACTGGGTTAGCTCAGACCTCAGCAGAAGACATTGTGGTGTATGTGCAGTGAGGCGATGAAGGTTGAGGAGCAGTGAGGTAGATGGGAGCGAAGTTAGATCTTCTAGAATTTACTCTAGCTCCATTTGTCTGTAGCAATATATCATGGTTCAATATATGATGTTATGACAGGCTTAAATGCGGCATGTGAGGGATTGGTGGTGATTGGTGGGACATAGGCACAGATTAGCAGTCCTCCTGATTCCCTTAGTCAGATCAACTGTTATTGTATGGAGCTTCAGCAACACAAACATTATTTCTCCCTTTGCTTGCTGTTGTGTAGAAGTAAGCAGAAAAAGTGTAATCACATTGTCATCTTTCTTACCCCTTATTATTTAATTTAAGACTATAGTGAGAAAGCCAGAGGTGAAAATGAGATGAAGAGAGAAGTGTGCTTTTACCTCTATGCTGAGCAGCCATGTTTGCAGATTGGCCACAGCCTCCTCCCCCAGAGCCAGGTTCCACACCACCAGGTACAGGGCTTTGTTGGTGAAGAAGCAGTGGTTTACAGTGGACATGCTGGTCTTCCCTCCGATGTCCCACACATAAAACTCCACATAGTCTTTCTGCCAACAACAGCAAATGTCAGTAATGCAAACACAAAACATCCTTTTCAATCTCTATAGGCTTTGATATGTTAAAAGAAGTCCATTCATAACATAACATAACATAACATAACAAAACAAACATAACATACATACTTCTAGCTGTTAGTTTCAGTGTAGTTAATTCCCTTTAGAAAAAATATTTAAAAAGGTGCGGTACCTGATCTTTACTCTTAAAAACAGGATTATTTTTTTATTGTCTGCAATTATTCCTCACTTTAACTGATTTCTAGCATCCTAATTATACTTCACAGTGAGGTAATAAGTGTTTTTCACAACTTTGAGAGGCCAGAATAGAGCCATCATTAACTACAACTAACCTGCTAAGAGTGCACTAACATAATTTCCTGGTTCACTAATGTTAAGACCTGCTATAATTAGAGGCAGACAACAAATTTTACTTGATTACAAAATTAAATCAAGTACAGTGTCAGTCCTTTACCAGAGCTACCAGACTAAAGGTTTTACAAGTAAACACAGATAAACTAACTTGATCAATGACAGTTATTATTTAAAAGCATTTGTCAAGGAATGTCACCAACAATAAAACAATAAAACCAACAAAAACTGGCCAGTTGCCAACATCAAGTAACATTACACTTGTGAAATGACAGAAAAGAAAACTTTTTGCCCTGTGACTTTTGTGTGCACTGACATTGCCCTTGCCTGCGCTGGGTCTGTCCAAGTGCCAAGACCAGGTGTCGATGCCACAAGGGGGAGAGCTCTGCTGGGAGACCCGTCCGGTCTGCAGGGCCTCCAGCAGGGTGGACTTGCCCTGCCGCGGGGGTCCGATCACTACCATCTTCAGCAGGTGACAGGGCTCAGCCTTACGCAGATGGGCTCTCAGGAAGGCCAGAACTGATAGTGTACCTGACAGAGAACATAGTATTATTGTTGTTGATTTTTATGAATTAGAAAAAAAAAAACACAATACAAAAACAACAAGTATGCAAACAGCCTTTCTTCCTGATTCATGGACAATAAATATGGATTAAAATTACTGCACAGAGTGGTCACATATTGACCCTTACCCGAACAGGGACAAGACACATTTAGTGCTCACTAGTACAGACACTTAATTTGTGTGAACGTGTTTCTTTCACTCCTCCTGATAAGACGATGTTTAAGTAAAATATTCTTGTTGCCATATTGGCGCAGTAATGAATAACTGTCTCATAGATGTACCTTCTCTGAGGACATTCAGAGGGACATTGGTGATGTTGAGGTTTTCGAGGTCCAGCTGCCACAGGTTGGACAGTTGCCCTAGTTCCACTGGCAGCTCCTTGATTCCTGGGTTACTGAAAATACAAAGTAGCAAAGTACTGTAAGTAAAGACCCCAATATAATCTTCATGGAATAAAACAAATGATTTCTAAATTACCTTTTGGCATTTGTATTTCAATCATACATTGTTATTCACAATTTCACATCTTATTTTTACAAAAAACAAGTTGTCATCAGTGAGCGTAATCTATTAGCATATATACAACTTGCTCTCCCAGTTAAGTGTGGAAAGAATACTTATACTCATAATTATCTCATACTTATCATGTTTCCTGTTATGTTTCTGAAGTTGTTACTCACTTGGAGAGGTAGAGCTCAGTAAGGCTGTTCAGACCACACACAGATGGTGGGACTGCCTCCAGCTGGTTGTCATTTAAGTGCAGCGCCTCCAGACAGTCCCGGAGCACAGCGGGAAAGCTCACTGAAGGCACTGCTACACACACAGGTTCAACACACGCATATTTAAGCAATGAAGCATTTAGAGACTTGGTCAAATGAAATAAAAATACTTGGGTTGAGTCATCACCATGGTTCAGCCTACAGCACCATCCACATTGTAATTTGTGAAGATGATACCACTCACTTTAGTGGAAACATGCTCCAGATCAATGTGTGTGTGTGTCAGTTTTTCCAAACTATAACCTACCAGTCTCAGGTTCTCTTTTGGTCCATGTGGAGAGGAATCCCAGTCTTTTGGATTTGGGCACATCGTCACTTCTGAAAGTTCAAAACAGTGACAGTGTTACTGTAGGTTTAATGTCATATTACTACAATGTTATTTGCACCATATTTGCACTTTTTAAGCATATTGGCTTTCGGTCTTAAATTTCCAGCCTAGGCCGATATTTTGTTTTGGCCAACCTGCTACCTAAAGATTATGCATAAAGCTTTATTTGAACACTTTACTGGGAAGAAAAAACAGCACAAAATGTGACTAGATTCTCAGCTGTGGGTGAGTTTTTATTAAATGTAAATGATATGATTTGGGGAAAATAATCAGCCCTACATATCGGTCCAAAATACTGACAGAGCTCATGAGTTTCTCTGAATTCTAAACAATCGGCATCGACCATGAAACAAATATCGGTTGATCTCCAAGTAATTATAATTTCATATTATTGTTATATTACTGTCATATTTTTGTCAGGTTACTGTAGTATTTCTATCATGTTACTGTAATATTTCGGTCACATTACTGTAGTATTTCTGTCACATTATTGCAGTATTTCTATCATGTTACTGTAGCAATTCTGTCACATTACTGTAATATAATGAGGAAATGTGGTTTACACATACTTCCCAAGTAGATTATGGGACAGGTCAAGTGTCCTAAGCTGGGTGCATTTCCACTCGATGGAGGTAGGCAGAGAAGTCAGCTGATTCCCACGTAGCCGCAGGCACACCAGGGCCTGATGTACAAAGAGGAAACTTTCTCAACTTAGCATTAAACAGATAAAACAGGCCTTATACAACTAGACTTTTCTGAGCTCCCTGTCTTGGTCTTGCTCCCTTTTCAAAGCACGCCCTGGGGAGGAGCTTGGGAGACTCTGACAGAAAGCATTTCTTTAGTTCAGGCAAACAACAAGCTACTTGTGAAGGACAAAACTGTTGATTGTAAGTATATTAGTCAATGCTTAACCCCTCTTTACACGCCTCCTGCCCGCTTTCAACCTGTAAACCTGCACCTGGGAGTGGCTTTTGAACTAAACTAAATTTTTCTGCAGGTATCAGGAAAGTACCCTGAGTTCAGGAAATAATTTTCTTTAACTGCGTCTAATGTTTCCTTATTAGGCAGTAACTAGAATGAACAAAAAATAATAATAATAGTAAGTTGTCACCTCCAGTTCAAACAGATAGCTGGGCAGCTCTGTGAGTTTGTTGTTGCAGAAGTCCATCTCTTGCAGATGTTTTCTCCACTGGACTGAGATCATTTCTGGAAGACTCTCAAGCATATTACCAGAGGCTCTGCACTGCTTCTGTAAAAATAAAATCATACATGTCTTTTATTTGCTTATCGTCTCATGTAAGCAATAAGTCGTGTTTATGTAGGGTCAAATGTAGAAATGGATGGTTTATATACTGTACTTTTTGGTGGGATTGTATTTGCTTCTACTAAATTGTAAATCAGTTTTTCTATGGTGCATGATGGTCAGTCTCCTTGGATGTATTAGGTTAGATACAGAGGTGGTGAATGTTCTGATACATTTACTCAATTACATCAACCCGAGTAAATCTGAGTTATACTAGTATGGTACATTTTAAAGAGGGGGTATTTTACTTCTATGGGATATTAAATGCTAAGACATAACATATTTAGATCACCATGTTACTTTTTATGAAAATGCTATAATTACCAAAAACAACATATGAGCATGTTTTATAAGTTTCACTTTAGTTTTTGATGATTCGAGTCTCCCCTCTCTTTGCTCCCCAGATTAAGTCACTCCCCCTTTAGGGCACTATCACAACACGATCAGCATGCATCCTGCTAATAAACTACTGCACGTCGCATCAGGTTTGTCAGGTTTCAGTGTACAGCTTGTAATATGCTTTTGTATATTCTTGGAAATTTGTCATGTGGGGTCAAGTTTGACATAGGCTTGAGGGCTGAGCATTACTCAAAGTCTTACAGCTAACCAGAAGGAGGGATCGAATAGGGAAGAAATGCTAAAAATACAGACATGCATGGATGATATCTAACACTTGTTTTAAAAGGCATGTTTTTCTTAGGGAACATGGTAGAAAGCTAAAAAAAAAAGGTTTACAGTATTCTTACTGGAGTAAACTTCTTTGTTAATACTGCAGTACCATATTACTTAACTTGGACAACCTAGATAAACCCAAAGCAATCATATTAAATAAAAATAAATGCAATAAAGCAACAGGACTACTAATGAAAAGAAGCTCAAAACAGCTAACCTGGGCACAGTTACATTGTTTGACTGATGTGATGAACCCTTTTCAAACCCTTTTCCAATGAAAATATAATAAATAATAAACTAAATTACAAAGGCCTAGTCATTAATAGAAATTCTTGTGGTTCACCATTGTAAATTTTTCTTTTGAATTATTCTTAGCAACACAGAAAACAATGTAAAACATTCTAAAATCTGCAAACAACCAATCAGACGTCAGCAAGTGGAATGCTGATCATCAAGTTTCATCCAAAGATTTTTTTTTGTTCACTTCAAAATATATATACTGAGCTCTTACAAGTGGACATCCCCATGGCTCCGGCAGCTCCTTCAGCCTGTTGTTGCTTGCATTGAGGGTTCTCAGGAATTTCAGGCAGTACATGATGTTTGCAGGCAGACAGCTTAGGCAATTGTCTGACACGTCCAGCTCCTCCAATCGCCTCAAACCGATCCAGTTCAAATCTGATAAACATGAAGAAAGCATTTTTTTTTTTTTTATCTACAGTGCAACTTGTACAAAACAACACAACAGAGTAGACTAGGGCAAAGACTTAACTATCCTCCTTTGGGGATATACTTCAATTAAGCTTTATTTTTATTTTGAAATCAGTAAAGATTTTTTTTACTTAAACAATTACAAAATGTATGCATTTTGTTTGTATAATTAACATTATTTTATAGCTTATAGTATTTATTTATTTTTTATTCATAAATGTAGCCAACCCAATTCAAAAGAATACATGATAAGCAATTACTTCAAGGGGACCCCAGTTCTAAAGACATATAGGCCTACATTGAATTTTGTGTATTTTGTATTGTCCAAGAAACCAACAATTTTATCAACCAAAGTACCATGGTCCAGTTGGAAGAGCACAGACAGCTGGTTCTTGGACGCCCACAGCCTCTGCAGGTGTGTGAGATGGAGCAGTCCACAGGGAAGAGAAGTCAGCTGGTTCTGAGACAGGTTGATCTCTCGCAAACTGCAATAACAATTTATACATTGTGTTTGATGAACTGTGGTGAACACTGCCAAAATGTTATGGTATATAAATTGTTTAGGATGGTGTTCAATTACTGCATGCATTAATTAGGAAAAATAATGGACAAATAAAGGTGCACTATGTAACTTCTCCAAGAACATGCTCTGGATTTTTCTGGCATTAAATTTATGTATCTCCATGGAGACAAGCAAGTGACACCACCAGGCCAAGTTCCAGGTATGATCTGTGGAGAGGTGACCCTGCTAACACTAAGGAGGCATATTTTTCAGTGTATTTTGGAGTCATAAAAATCTGTAACTGAATAAATGCAGGATAGATATATTTAATGGCCATACTTTGAAACACTCCTTCAAGCTTTAAGAAGGTGGCAGATCCTTCACCAGAAAAGTTACATAGTGGTTTGGACATGCTAGAGGTGTAGCTTGTACCTTGTGCAAAGAACCTCATGTGAACTGAGCACCAGTGGCAACTCATACAAGAGGTTATTCTGGAGGTCAAGGTTCTGCAGGTGCACAAGGCCCCAAGGCACTACTGAGGGCAGGCCTGTAAGCTGATTGGACGACAGCTCGAGGTGAGTGATTCGTGATGAGAGGTCCATGAACCAGGTGAGTTCTAACCAGGGCAGCTGCAACCCGCTCCAACTCACACAGACACTCTGAAAACATGGAAACACAGCATCATTTTGACTTTTTATTATCACATTATGTTTTTATCTAGCATTTTTAACATTATATTTAGGGGAGAAAAAGCCAATGCAACATTTTTAAGCCATTATGTATCATCTGAGGTTCACACCCTTCAAAAGCAGACAAGGCAAGATTACTCAAACATGCATGTATCACTCCAAATACTATGCTAATGTTGTGAGAGACCATAACATAGCTGATGTAAGTCACTTCCTCTTTTGTTTTGCACTAACCTGATCTCCATCCACGTGGTTGCTCCCCGAGACCCTCTGTCGGAGCAGGTGTGTGCAGAAGCTCGGGTGGTCAATCAGGACGTATGATGAGAAGCCTGTTCCGTTCTGAATTAAGAAGCTTGCAATCTCCATGTGACCTGCAATGAAAACAAATGTCTGCATATACTGGTGTATGAATATGTGTGTGAATGGGTGAGTGGGCTACTTGATATAAAGGTTCAAATCCGCCAAAATGCCATTATAGTGAGGACTGGACTCACAGTTGATTTTGGTGAAGTACAATGCAATCACCTCTTCCACTCCAACAGCTATATGACAGCTCCATTACTTTACTTTACATCACTTTATTACTTTACTTATGAGCTTTTATTACTTTATTTCTATTTACTTGTACATATGCATTTATATATTTATGCCTTATGTTTTTTTGGGGTTTTTTTTCAAAGCAAGATGCAAAATTCCTATGATCAGAACAGTGCACTCTACCCAACACATTTACGTACCAGCCGTAGCAGCAGCATATAGGGGCAGCTCTGTGATTTGCGTGAACTCCTGGCTGTAGATATCATGGTCATTGACATCTATGTTGTATAGTTCCACAAGCATCTTCAGCAGGTCCAAGTGTCCTTTCTGACAAGCTATGGTCAGCAGAGAGCGCAACAGCAGCTCCTTCTTAGCAGCATAACCTGAAATAACAGCAACAGAATCACAAAACATCGTGACAGCCTGCCCACACCAAAATCTTACTAAATCTGTGCATCAACTGGAATAAAAAACAGTAAATTAAGCCTCCATTTTGAACCGTTTGTTGTGCTGGTTCGCTACATTCTAGTGATGTTTTCGCATTTGTAAAAGTTTGTAAATGTAACATTTTTCCTGATACACAGTAATAATCTTTGTCTCATCTTGAGACTTACAACCTACAATTTCTTAGCTGGGACTTATTTCTTCCAGTCAGTAATCTTACATTGCAAACAACAAGCTTTAAACATAAAATGTAAAGATATACATTTACTCGGAATGATTGAGGGATAATTTTTGGGCTTTGAACTAATGTGCTCCGTTTTGTAATTGTGACAGCCCATTTCTGAATTCTGAGGGTTTTTATAAGTCCAAGTCAGTGATGCAATTTGTGAAAGACATTTTAATATATTTCAAAATTTCATGTTGAAGTAGTTGGGCCCAGTCAGGCAGAAGTATACAGCAAGGCCAAAAATTCAAGTTAATGCATCTGATATAAAAATGTATTTAACAGATACATATGTACTCTAGTTTATGAAACTGTTTACCTTTTTTCTGTACCATTTTTGGTTCTAAAGTTATATATGTTTTAAACAGATCATGTATGCAACATAGAACAATTTTTTTTCCCCAAATTTCAAAGACCTGCAAATCATGTAAATAAATTTATGTATTTCATCATATCTTGTGTTATTCCATCTTTGAACTGTTGATGAAGGTACATGATTTAAAAAAAAAAAAGTATTTAAAATTATAAAAAATTTGCTTGGAAGGACTGACATATTTTATAGAAATAGTTACCTTTCATTTTGAAGTAATATTAAAGTATTCGGAAGAAAAAAGCTGACAAATTATGCAAAAACCTTCTACTTGTTTGCACAATTTTCCCTCCGTTATCATGACCTTTCTTAATAAAAAATCTCATTACTCAAAAAGTAAGAGGTTTTTCAACCTAATCTTGTACCATATGGTAGAAAACTATATGAAGCAAATATTCAAACCAGTTTGTTAAGGATATGTAAGTGAGAACCGCTAGTTATCACTGTTTGTATTTATTGCCCAAAAAGTGCTGCATATTTCATTCCCTCTGTAACCGACATGAGTTTTTAAATTTTTTGTCAACAACTTGAAAGAATATCACAGGTTTAACTTTACCCTGTTGGAGTGTTAACTCTTTCCTTCATTCTAATACCTTACTTATTTCAATAGTCCCTCTAGTTTCTGAATAAGAGCTATTTGAATGTAAAAAATCTGCCCGTTTCCCTCTGTTACCGCTTGACCTGACCCACTTTAAAACAATGTAGATTGGACAAGGAGTGTCTTACTTTGGGGCAGAGAGTCGAGCAGCAGCCTGACCAGCCCCATATGTCCATGGCGCCCTGCGACCAGAGCAGGGTGGTCGTCTGTGGAATCCACAGGGACTGAGACATGGGCCTCCTTCAGCAAGTACCGGGCGCTTTCATGGTCCTCATGCTCCACAGCAAGACACAGCAGATCCACCTGCACATTATCAAACAGCGTGAGATGGATGGACAGGTTGAAAGAAAAATCCCAGTCTATATTAATACTAGAATCTAAAGTGAACTCATTTGAGCAGGTACCATATGATAATGAAATGAATGAGGAGCATGTTTTATTTTGAAATTTTAGCCCCACCCACTTCCCCACCTAATCCTTTCTGCCTCTGCGATATTGCACCATGACACAGGAGCAACTGCCCTTGCTCTTATAGTAAATCCTCACAGTTAAATTTAGCTTTAACTTTTCTACCTTTAAGGTGGAAAGCATTTCACAACAAGGAACCACTCACCCATTCACACACACATACATACATACATCTGTTTAAATGCATTCATCTGTGTGAGCTGGAATCGCACCGCTAAACTGTGTGTCATCAGTGGACCTGACTGCTCAACCAATGCTGAGAGCAGGATTCGAACCACCAACCTCTGGATCAGCTCTACCAACTTAGCTACTGCTGCTCTTACAAGAGTTCTGCCTACTGTTTGTTTTATTGCCACTTTGAAAATTCACCAGTGTCCAGCATAGAGTCAGGCAGTTGGTTTCCCAAGATTCTTTGCAACAATGTGCCTGACTAGACAAAAGGGTGACCCTGTCTGCAGCTTCTGTATTAGTTATTACTTTAGAAAATACTGTGTAAACTCTATATATTATATTTTACAGTAAAGAGCATTTATCTTATCAAGAATAAATTAAAATCAGGTACAGGTCCTTTAAAATTACGCTGTTATTGTGTAAAATAATTATAATAATATGGAGATGGAAAAAGATACACGAGGCAGTAAAATGCACATTAAAATCATATGGTTAGATATACTGAGCCCATGTAATGAGTGTGTCTGCTCTGTTAATGTCTGTAACATGACCCTCTTCTATTCAGCAGGCTAAAGTGACAAAAGCAGATACTGATGATGTGCAGTGGTGCATTGTGAAAGTAAATTCTCAAAGGACCCCATATGAGCTAAAACAGGAAGAACAAGAAAAAGCATTACATGGCTATTCAGTCATATAAAGAGGGCTAGTATTATCAACTTTGCATTATTTATAAACGGAAATAATGTGTACACCAAAGGATTTCAGTTATGAAAAAATACATGAATAACTGGTTTGAGTCACTGATACTTCTTACAACACAGAGGCATGTAGGATGCCCAAAATGTGACCTCTTTTTCTTTGTTTAAGTGAATTTAACACTTTTCTTATTCTAGCAAAATGGGGTTGGTACTCTTATAGCTCAGTTGGTATCGCTGAGAGTGTGTTCACAATTATCCTTGTTGGGTCCTTGTTTAGACCCAGCCTAGTCCAAAGGGCATGCTTGATTTGGTCCTGTTCTAGTCCTGGTTTAGTCTTGATCTATTTCAGAACTGATTCAAAATTTAGACCCAGTTTAGTTTTCATTTTGATGTGATCTATGTGAAGACACCCTGAAAAAAAGGACAGATTTAGACTTTTCCTTAATGGTTTTTGAATGAATAAAATTTCTCCCAGAACAAGTACAAGACAGCATTATATTATTAAACAAATAATACATAATAATTTTTTTTGAAAATGTGTTCTCAAATCGGTATTGAAAGATGAGCTTTTTACTAATTCTCCTCATTTGACATTTTAGTCCATAGCATATAAATGGACACAGCTAAGACGCTAGCTGCTTCGGACGCTGGCTCCCATTGACAAATATATAAGTCAATAGGATATTGTCAATACTGTCACCCCTCTCTCTGTAATAGTGAGCATCATCATTTCAGTCTTAAAAAGTTTGTATTAACCCGCTCTACATGATTCAGATGTTTTTATTTTGCAATTTTGTCAAAATTTTGTAAATAAGTTCCTATTCCTAAGCCTGGCTCCAAATTCACCCCTGTAACAACCAGCATCATGAACTTCATTTGACTGGAGCTCAACGCTTCATGTTTTGCTGAACTAGTTGATTAATGTTATTAAAGTTAGTGATTGTCTGTGTTGTAAATTACACTATTAGACCATTTTAACCCTCTGTTACACAATGATATATCTAACTGCCCTTACCCCATCAATGCGAGGCTCTCCTGCACTGCACTCCTGACAGCAGGCCTGCTGGACCAACTCCTGGGCCTCTTCCCGTTCTCCGGACTCGTATGTGGAGCGGATCTTCTCTAATGTGACAGAGGCAACCAGTGTGGACCCGTGCTCCGGCTCTGAGGCAGGAGGGGGTTCCTTGTCCTCCCCTGGACCTGCAGTACATTCACTACATGTGAATATCACTACATACATTTATTTAGTCAAGATTTATGCAGGCTCCTGGCTCTGATACGACACAATTCGTTCTTTGCAAAATTGTTTGTTTAACAGCCATTTTGGAGGAGTATTTTCTCTAATCTAGACTTGGAAGTTTTATTTTAAGTTATTAAGGTAAATTATGCTTTTGCTTTGAAACAAAAAATGAAGCCTGAAGCAGGACAGTGGCCTGTAGAGAAATACAATCAGAACTGATGCCTCAAATCATGTTGACATCAAACACCTGGTCTGTCAGACAGCTGTTTATGTGTCTTAATAAGGGAGAGACAGAGACGTACTGTCCTGCTGCATCTTCACTGCGGACGGCCCAGGCTCCAGAGCCCCTTTAACACACCAGTAGGACATTCTGAATCAGGCACTGTGGCACTGAGGCACTTCCATCCTCCAAACCAGACTTGGACTGTGCCTGCAAAGAAAAGAAATGAACAATTATTGTTAATTATTGCAATTTAACTGCAGTGGAAAAAAGGCTACTGTGTATGTATTTTGGTTCAAAGACTCCTGACAGAATGACATAGTGTAAATAAGATGCTGCTGATATTAGGCATTAGACATGAAAAGCAAACTGAAAGCAAAGCAAAGTGTCTGGTTTCAATGCCAGTGCCCTTATCTGCCCTGTTTTTAATTGTGTGTCTGTGGGACTTACCAGAATTTAATACCCAGTGACTCTTTTATAAAAGCACTAAGTGCTTCCTGTTATAGGCTAATGTGGACCATTAGAAGAGCAGTGCCGCTGTGCTTGGGTGCAGGTGACTGAGCGCACGATCACCCCACATGAGGCCGCTGAACAGTGCATTTTATATACTGCTCCTGGTTAGATTTTTTCGAATCTTTTAACGATTTAAAACAGGCATTATTTCTTCAAAACTGCTTCACTCCACTGCTCTCCAGCTGTGTCCTGATATGCGTGCGCAGTGGTTTACTAAAAGGTACAAAGTTTGTGTGGCCATGGAGGTGTAACGTCCAGTTAGAAATAACCTATTACTGTGTATAATGGAGAACTTACTATGGAAAGAAAATCTTCTTGATTTATGTCCAAACCCACAACAATCGTCTAGAAATACTCAGATTATTACTACTATTAGCCCATTGCCATATAACAGCACCTAGACTTTCAGGTGCTGGAATCTCACTGGAGACAATTATTTCCTCATTAATACTAAATAAAGCCTGCGACAGCACACTTTTGTTAACCCAAACGCTAATCGCTGGCAGAGGAACGCGTGTGCGAAGTTTCACTCAAGATTCCTCAACTAACACAGGCAACAGTTTAGCTCCATTAAACTGTTATAAACAAATGAAGCCGTAATCCCCGGACCGCGAAGCACCGCGCAGTGCCAGACACGGCTTTATACGGTAATAGCCCAATACTTAGAGCTTTAATACTTACAGCTTTAATACTTAGAGCTTTGTAGAGTGTCGGCATCCTGCTCAAAACAAAAAAAAAAAAAACACGCAAACTTCCTGATTCCACACAGGCGTCGTGTTTCCCCGCTCCGCAGCACAGAACGGGGTCAGACCTTCAGGAAGAAGTCTGAAGTGACGGCTCCGGGTTTGGGACCAGCGAGAGGAAAAAGTGAGCTCAGAATCACACAGCCCACTGCAGCAGCCATGGTGTGAGCTCTGCGCGTCCACCGCCCATCGCGCCTGGAGTGTGGACAAACAGGAGACGTGTTCTGGGCGGGGACAGAGGGCACGGGCTGAGCTGTGGATGTATGGGGCTCAGTTTGACACAAATAAAGGAACTGTACGTAGCATGCGGTCTCACTGTTTTTGAAAAAGATGGCCTACTATAAGCCTGGACTCTAGAGTAGGCTACACAGATTTATATATGGACAGACATGTGAAAGCTCAGAACCTCCAGAGTTCCCTCACTGAGCTGCAGAGGCCGCACTAGCACTGACTCCTGATTGTCTGCAGGTTCTGGGGTTTAGGTGGTGAGGCTTTAGATAAGAGAGGCATTTTAGTTCTCACCCTCTGGCTTCACTATGGACATTTTTGTATTCATTTTGCATTTTTCAAACTTGGTCTTCCTCTATTGATTTAATGCTAATGACACCAAATGATTTGCCTGACCTTCTAGTCCCTCTTACATTCTGTCTTTGTGAAGTTTTTTCAAAGATGATATGATTTTGGCTGGCCAGGTAACCAAACTATCAGGAATATCTCTTGTTGAAGTTTTTGTTATTGCATTGGAACACACACCAGGACCTTATAAGGACATAAAATATCCACTCACAAAAACGCAGTAAAACCATCATAGTTTGATATTTTTTTCATAATCTTTTAAATCTAAAGATCCTGCCCATATCAAAATATATAGCCTTAAAAAAAAAATCAGTGCAACTTTAACCCTTTAAATGCCAGTTTGTTTTGACATGTGGTGTAAAAATGCCATCTAAAATTGAGGTATTTTCTAGATAACTGAAGCCAGGGTATGGGATATACTTTTATATAGCCTATATATGTCCTGGGAAGCTTTAACTTTGTGTAAAATTGAAAGTTTTTAGTTTTTGTGTAATATCACATAACACACACACACACACACACAAAAAAAAAAAAAAAAAAAAAAAACACAGACACTTAGAACCCAAGGACACACAAATGTCTTACAGAAACAGCTGTAAATCATCACAGATTCATATTTTTCTTGGTCTACGTTTTAGAGTATCACGTCAAGAGGATTGTGGGAAAGGTTATGGCTCCATCTAGTGGTCAAAACGTGCCTCTGCAACACTACAGAAGAAGGAGGTATTGGTGTCACATTTATACATTCACAAGTCACTTTTTAAATTCCTTTTAAGAGTCATTGTGTCAGACTAAATGTTATACTTATAAGTGAGTATTATTAGGTTTACGTAACATTACCTGGATATTGTGATGATGAGGATTTTTGCATATTATTTTATGTTTTATCATCAGTGAACGCAAATCAGATTTATTTTTGTATTATTTGGAACATAGCAATTGTTCTATAGACCGGTGTTTTGTTTTTAGAAATGTTCATGTGATTTTATGGTTGTCACAATAACTGACACAACAGGGAAAAGAAATAAATAGGGCTGCTTGATTTTAAAGACCATTTGGTACATTTATTTATTCTTTACATAATCACATTCTCTTGCTTCTTACAATGCTCATAATTATCCCATTGTGACATCTATGAAATACAATGAATCCTGACATTCCCAATTCCGCTTAGTGCTATAATATGCCCCGTTTTTATCGCCGTCCAAATGAGCACAATCAGTGTAGTGTTGTGAATACATAAAGCGTGTCGAAATAGCGTGTTGATTGTAATGACCTACTGTGTACTATTAGCTGCATTGGTATCAACAAAAGCAAGCACAACATGTCTGATCAGTGTTATTGTGCAGGGATAAAAGAAGAGTGGCTTATTTTGTTTCCCTTAAAAACAATATTTGCACAGGGGGGGAAAAATAGTCACTTTTTTCACAGAAACATCATCATAACCTCAAAATAGTGATTGAGGTAATAATAATGTGTTATAATTGCGTTCATAATTGACAGCAACATTCTAGAGCAGGGGTGGGCAAACTTTTTGACTCGTGGGCCACAAACAAAGGGTTCTAAATTTTGACGGAAGGGCCGGACCGGGAGCAGATGGATGGAGTTTTTTGGTAATCCGCCTCATAAGAGACAAAAATAACATGAAATAACTCATAACTGAAAATCATTACAAAACACTTCAACAAATTATCTGTCTTTCAAGTCCCACGGTATTTACGATTTATTGAAATGAGTTTTAAAACACTGAAAAACATTATTATTATTATTATTATTATTCAAGTTCGGCGGGCCGGATTAAAAACATTTAAGGGCCACATATGGTCCCCGGGCCGTAGTTCGTCCACCCCTATTCTAGAGTCTCTAAAACATTGAACAGGAATATGGATCAGAATGCTTTTCATGGGTTTCAGGCGTTTCTGATTTGAAGGATTTTGTAAGGATCTCTTCCAAATTATAGATATATTTGACCATGAATTGTATTATTGCTATAGCAACAGAGGATCATTACTGTGCCATTTCCTTCAAATCAGGAAAAACAAGAATGGTGGAATCTGCTGTTTAAAAATTTGAGTTTCCTCATCACAAACATACCTGCAGCTGTGTTTTGTTTCATTCACACACACAAACTCTGCATATTTAGGATGAATTCTTCTCTCAAACTGAAAACACTCTGCTCCATCTTGTCATGTCATGTGGTAATACAGGAAGTGCTCCACTTTTTAAGTTCCATACACCTTCACTAGATCCATTTGGAAAATTCCAGACCTAGATTCCCCATCTCTACTGAACTAAAGGAGCTGTTAACTTGAAAAACTACCACTTCATGACATCACAAGGTGGAACAGAGCATTTTGAGCTTTGGAGATGTAGACAGACTAATAATAAAGTGTTACTCAAACATGTGTAAATGACACAAAACACAACTCTGGGTATGCTGTTTGATGAGGTAACAACATTCTAACAGGGTTTAAAAATTTGCTAGAATCAGTTTAGCATAATGTAGATATTTATTAATTATTCATATTTAACTCAGACTCCAGATTTGTTCACCTGGATTATTTTTTCATATACACAGAATCTATATAATTATTGGGCCTATTCACCTGAAACAAAAAGGCACAAAGTTCAAAGTTCTCTCCACAAAAGCTTCACAACGTGTTTCCATTACACAAATCTAGAGATGTGATTTTGTTGCCAGTTAAAAGTTAATGGATAATGTTCAACAACATTCAGGATATGTGGATCATGGCGTGGTTCTCAAACTCACCGAAAAACATGTGCTTATACAATTCAATACATGTACGGTATAAAAAAATTGCTTTAGAATACAATGGAAATCCTATGCTAAAAATTTCCAAATGTTAAGATTAAAAGGTTTGCTTTAGTCTGATTATGATTTATAGCACGTTGTATTTCCTATACTTGACCACTACTTAGCAGTTAGCTTACAACACGATAACAACTGCTCAAAACCCTTTACAAACTTTGCTCCACTTTCTTCCTACTGTCACGGAGTAACCTTTGACATCTAATAACTTTGACAATTGACATAAAACTTGTCTTTTTGTTACCAACTTTAATAAAAGAATAACAGAGCACGTTTTGAGCTGCTTACTCACAACAGAGATTGCTTCTTCTCTGCAGCGCTCAGTCTACTCTCTACAAACGTCGTGACATGCGCCATCTACTGGTCAGTGAAGAATTGCACGTTAACTCAACAGAGATATAGAACACATGGATTATATACAATGAAATAAAATGAAATACTCAATAAGAAAGTAAAATTAGAGGGGTGTCTGATTTCTAACTGCATTTTTCCAGCCTCTACACTAATGCTGCGAGGTCAGACGGTTTGTACGAAGTGAAACGAAGTAAAACCGGCAGATGAATCAGGCTATCAAAACCGTAGCACTGTAACAAAATAATTTAGAAAAATATTGCAAAAAATACTCTTGGCGATATATCGATACAGCAGCCCACGATATCGATACTGTATCACCACATTAAACAATACGATATATCGATATTTTAGATTTTTCTGCACGGTTCTATCCATGGGCATATTTATTTTTTGTCCTTTGTGACTGTTTTAGTATCAGTACTTGATCAAATGAGTATCTAGTTTTGATGTTGGTTTTAGTATTGATCCAGTATCTGATTTTTGATAGTGTCCAGTGTAGGGCTGAGTATCATTAAGAAGTGCTGATACAATAAATACCTCGATACACAGGCTGATACAATAAGTTGAATCAACCAAAATCGATACACAGGCCATGATATCTCCTGTCGAAAATTTGCACTGTCCGTCATAAATAAAATAAAAAAAATATCTCAATGAAATGTCAAATGTGCCGCATAAAGATGTTTTCCTTCACTAAACAAACAACAAAACTGTAGCCAAAGCTGGCGCCACCTAGTGCCTCCGCTCAATTTAATTTCTCTCCAGCGACTAGATCAGGAATCTGAATGCACTAGACGGTTCACAAAAACCCCGGAAGTGCGAGTTCAGGCACCAGCCAATCAGCGAAGAGTCGGACATTCTGTGTTGTCAACGATTCCCGAGATCAAGGATTTAAAGACGGAACAAAGAGAATGTTTGGTGAATTTTATCAAGGGAAAAGACGTTATTGTCCTTCTTCCTACGAGATTTGGGAAAATCTTAATATACCAGTTAACCCCGTTTGCGGCGCATTACATACGTCACGACCAAATAGCAGCGAATAGTTAAATAAAACGAACGAAGCGAACGAATCTTAATGCTGCGAGGTCAGACGGTTTGTACGAAGTGAAATGAAGTCAAACCGGCAGATGAATCAGGCTATCAAACCGTAGCACTGTAACAAAATAATTTAGAAAAATATTGCAAAAAAATACTCTTGGCGATATATCGATACAGCAGCCCACGATATCGATACTGTATCACCACATTAAATTATACGATATATCGATATTTTGATATTTCTGCACAGCTCTATCCATGGGCATGTTTGTTTTTGTCCTTTGACTGTAACTTTTTTAGTATCGGTACTTGATCAAATGAGTATCTAGTTACGATATTAGTTTCAGTGTTGATTATGATTTGATTTTCGTTAGTGTCCATTGCGCCTCGTGTCTAGTTCGCCTCTGTTGTTTCTACAGTGACAGCTCCTCCAGACAGATGAGTCCAATAATCTGAGCACTGATCATTTACAGTTTATCACCTGTAATCTGCACCGGATCCGTCCAATCAGATCGTCCCCCCCGCGGGGCCCGGCGCAGGCCAACACGAACGCGCCGCCGCTAAATTGCCAATTTAAATGTGATGAATTAAATCAGAGCTGAAATATTCACAAACAGAATTAGAAGCAGGCTGATGGCCCGGATCAGAGCGCTATGTTAATCCTGCGCTGTTTACCCCGCCGAGGTCATTAAAGTGAGACAGTCGAGTCCAAAACAAACCCAGCGCAAAATGGACTCCCCGACAGAACTTCCTGATTACTGAGCTCGCTAATTGCACTCACTCAGCCTTAAATCAGGGGGAGATTAACGGTGGAAGGTACAAAATGGTTGAGTGAATCGTGGTCGAAGTGGAGACGGACAGAGTTTTGAACAAAGACTTCCTGCTCAAGCTGCTTTTAGAAACACATTTGGTCTTTTGGTAAATAAAACTCATTTGCTTTGGTAGTTAAAGACGGCGTTAGAAAGACTCTTCAACGTAAACACTTCTGTTCCCGTTTACTTGCTCGCAGTGTTGGGAAGGTGACTTTTAAAATGTATTCCCCTACAGATTACAGATTACATTACACCAAAATGTAGTTTGTAAGCATAATCCATTAAATTACTTAAAGTGAGTAACGATAATCTGACAAATACATTTTGGATTAACTTGATTTAGCTGTAGAGAAACAAAAGAGCGAGGAAATCTTCACATAAGAAGTTTTATCTGATGAAAATAAAAAATAAAAATAAAAAAAAAAGCCCAGATTTACTGAACCAAATTAAAAATATTATTGATAGAAGACGAGGAGGGTCCTTTTTCTGTTTAGACGGTTTCCTTTTTAGAGGTTTTAGACCTGGGTCCTGATTTAGTCTGGTTTAGTCTGGTTTTAGTTTGGTCTGGTTTAGACCTGGTTTAGTCCGTTTAGTCCTGGTTTAGTCCCTGGTTTAGTCCTGGTTTAGACTGGTTTACTGTTTTAGTCCTGTTTAGTCCTGGTTTAGTCTGGCTAGTTCAGTCCTGGTTAGTCCTGGTTTATCCTGGTTTAGTCCTGGTTTTAGACCTGGTTTTAGTCCTGAGTTTAGTCCTGGTTTAGTCTGGTTTTAGTCCTGGTTTCAGACCTGGTTTAGTCCATAGACCTGGTTTAGTCCTGGTTTAATGGTTTAGTCCTGTTTTAGTCCTGGTTTAGACCTGGTTTGGACCTGGTTTAGTGTTCAGCAATGAGTGGAATTATCGGGAAAAAAAAAAGGAAAAAAATGCCCAAAAGTAAAGGAAAATGCCTATGTGTAATGCCAATTTATTGTCAACAAAGTTAACTGTAATCCAATTACCATCACTGAAACAGTAACTGTAACAGTTTTAAAGTAATTTGCCCAACAGTGCCCACTCTCCACAAAACACCCGAAGCAAAATAGTCCAATGTCCTGAGACTGGGACCAGACCAGGACTGAACCGTTTTCAGTCCAATTTTTTTTCAATTTTCATTTAAATACAAAATCGAAAACTTCCAAATCATTTTGCTTTTGCAGACAGATAATGAAGAAAATAGCTGTTTTTTTTCATTTTATTTTTTTGGTTTTATACTGAAAAACGAATGAACGAATGACACACGGATTCAAACTCAGCATTTCTCCGTAATCACGTCTAATTCACCGTTTCACGATCTTTCACGTTTGACCTTTTGCTCTCCTCCTTCCCCACACTCCGTCCATCTCTCCGTCCATCCGCTCACGTTGGCATTTCCTCCACTGACGCTGCAGCTGACCCGTCCTCGCTTCTTCTCCATAAATAAAAGGGTAAAACCGTAAAGAATCTGCTTTTTTTTAACGCATCTGCCGCAGCATCAGTTTCCTCCAAAAGACTCCAAGACGGAAAATATAATCACGTTGTTTTCTAAAGCGCAACCGTTCAGGACAAAGCAATTTGGTTATCGAAAGAAGATGGGGAAATATTGAAAAGGGCCTGTCACATTAAAGCGTCTCTCTCCTCCTCTCGTTATCTCCATCTCTCACTCCCTCTTTTTTCCTCTCTCCTTCCTCCTCCTCCGTCTCTCTCTCTCTCGCTCTCATGCCCGGCTGCCTTGTTTTAATGGTGTTTTCAGACTGATGCAATGTCAAAATAAAACGATAAAATAACACGTGAGGAGCTAAAACGGTGTAATTGTTTTGACAGTTACAGAAAGAGTTTGATAAAATATGTTAAGAATGATCCCGAGCTGCCAGAACACGAAGGATTTGTGTTAATTCGTGTGTCATTTGTTCATTCGTTTTTTCAAAATGAAACAAAAAAAAAGAAAGAAAATGAAAAAAAACAACAATTTTCTTCATTATTTGTCTCCAAAACCAAAATGAAAAAATTTATAATGATTTTAGTTTTTTTTTTTCAGGGATAATAGCCGTTTCTCGTTTCTGTGACTTAAACTGTGATGCCGGACTGAACCAGGACTGAACCAGGACTGAAACAGGACTAAAGCAGGACTAAACAAGGACTAAACCAGTCTCAGTCCTGGTCTGGTCCCAGTCTCAGTCTCGGTCCCAGTCTCGGTCTGATTTTGGTTTGGTCCTGGTCTGGTCCCGGTCTCAGTCCTGGTCTGGTTCCAGTCTCAGTCTGGTCTCAGTCCTGGTCTCAGTCCCAGTCTCAGTCTCTGTCCCAGTCTCGGTCTGATTTTGGTTTGGTCCTGGTCTGGTCCCAGTCTCAGTCCCGGTCCCAGTCTCAGTCTGATCCCGGTCTGGTCCCAGTCTGGTCCAGATCTAGTAACGGTCTCAGTTCTGGTCTGGTCCTGGTCTTAGTCCCAGTCCTGGTTCAGTCCTGGTTCAGTCCAGCATCGCAGTTTTTTCCACTTTTCATATAAACACAAAAACTGAAAAAACTGGTTTTGGAGACACATAATGAAGAAAATATTTTTTTTTGTTTTATTTTGAAACACGAATGAACAAATGATACACTGATTTGTGTTTTCAGTACATGGAGTTTTATATATCGTGTATATTTACATGAGACAGATTGTTCACAGTCCGTCACTTTCTGTTTGAGCCAGTTTTGATCTGACTCATGTGCCCCCTGCTGTTCAGAGACGTCCAGTGCAATTAGTTTCACAGCTTTAAGGCCAGATGCCCTCGTTAATATGATATACATGTAGTTTTATTTTTAATTTGGTTTATTGCACTGATAAACATGCGTCATGTGTCAGTGGGCAGGCATCTCTACAAACCTGAGTCTTGTGGCGTGGAGGAGCTTCCTCCTGTTTGTTTCCATGGAAACTTTGTTCCTTTGGTTGTANTCTTGAGACTTACAACCTACAATTTCTTAGCTGGGACTTATTTCTTCCAGTCAGTAATCTTACATTGCAAACAACAAGCTTTAAACATAAAATGTAAAGATATACATTTACTCGGAATGATTGAGGGATAATTTTTGGGCTTTGAACTAATGTGCTCCGTTTTGTAATTGTGACAGCCCATTTCTGAATTCTGAGGGTTTTTATAAGTCCAAGTCAGTGATGCAATTTGTGAAAGACATTTTAATATATTTAAAAATTTCATGTTGAAGTAGTTGGGCCCAGTCAGGCAGAAGTATACAGCAAGGCCAAAAATTCAAGTTAATGCATCTGATATAAAAATGTATTTAACAGATACATATGTACTCTAGTTTATGAAACTGTTTACCTTTTTTCTGTACCATTTTTGGTTCTAAAGTTATATATGTTTTAAACAGATCATGTATGCAACATAGAACAATTTTTTTTCCCCAAATTTCAAAGACCTGCAAATCATGTAAATAAATTTATGTATTTCATCATATCTTGTGTTATTCCATCTTTGAACTGTTGATGAAGGTACATGATTTAAAAAAAAAAAAATGTATTTAAAATTATAAAAAATTTGCTTGGAAGGACTGACATATTTTATAGAAATAGTTACCTTTCATTTTGAAGTAATATTAAAGTATTCGGAAGAAAAAAGCTGACAAATTATGCAAAAACCTTCTACTTGTTTGCACAATTTTCCCTCCGTTATCATGACCTTTCTTAATAAAAAATCTCATTACTCAAAAAGTAAGAGGTTTTTCAACCTAATCTTGTACCATATGGTAGAAAACTATATGAAGCAAATATTCAAACCAGTTTGTTAAGGATATGTAAGTGAGAACCAAGAGTTATCACTGTTTGTATTTATTGCCCAAAAAGTGCTGCATATGTCATTCCCTCTGTAACCGACATGAGTTTTTAAATTTTTTGTCAACAACTTGAAAGAATATCACAGGTTTAACTTTACCCTGTTGGAGTGTTAACTCTTTCCTTCATTCTAATACCTTACTTATTTCAATAGTCCCTCTAGTTTCTGAATAAGAGCTATTTGAATGTAAAAAATCTGCCCGTTTCCCTCTGTTACCGCTTGACCTGACCCACTTTAAAACAATGTAGATTGGACAAGGAGTGTCTTACTTTGGGGCAGAGAGTCGAGCAGCAGCCTGACCAGCCCCATATGTCCATGGCGCCCTGCGACCAGAGCAGGGTGGTCGTCTGTGGAATCCACAGGGACTGAGACATGGGCCTCCTTCAGCAAGTACCGGGCGCTTTCATGGTCCTCATGCTCCACAGCAAGACACAGCAGATCCACCTGCACATTATCAAACAGCGTGAGATGGATGGACAGGTTGAAAGAAAAATCCCAGTCTATATTAATACTAGAATCTAAAGTGAACTCATTTGAGCAGGTACCATATGATAATGAAATGAATGAGGAGCATGTTTTATTTTGAAATTTTAGCCCCACCCACTTCCCCACCTAATCCTTTCTGCCTCTGCGATATTGCACCATGACACAGGAGCAACTGCCCTTGCTCTTATAGTAAATCCTCACAGTTAAATTTAGCTTTAACTTTTCTACCTTTAAGGTGGAAAGCATTTCACAACAAGGAACCACTCACCCATTCACACACACATACATACATCTGTTTAAATGCATTCATCTGTGTGAGCTGGAATCGCACCGCTAAACTGTGTGTCATCAGTGGACCTGACTGCTCAACCAATGCTGAGAGCAGGATTCGAACCACCAACCTCTGGATCAGCTCTACCAACTTAGCTACTGCTGCTCTTACAAAGTTCTGCCTACTGTTTGTTTTATTGCCACTTTGAAAATTCACCAGTGTCCAGCATAGAGTCAGGCAGTTGGTTTCCCAAGATTCTTTGCAACAATGTGCCTGACTAGACAAAAGGGTGACCCTGTCTGCAGCTTCTGTATTAGTTATTACTTTAGAAAATACTGTGTAAACTCTATATATTATATTTTACAGTAAAGAGCATTTATCTTATCAAGAATAAATTAAAATCAGGTACAGGTCCTTTAAAATTACGCTGTTATTGTGTAAAATAATTATAATAATATATGGAGATGGAAAAAGATACACGAGGCAGTAAAATGCACATTAAAATCATATGGTTAGATATACTGAGCCCATGTAATGAGTGTGTCTGCTCTGTTAATGTCTGTAACATGACCCTCTTCTATTCAGCAGGCTAAAGTGACAAAAGCAGATACTGATGATGTGCAGTGGTGCATTGTGAAAGTAAATTCTCAAAGGACCCCATATGAGCTAAAACAGGAAGAACAAGAAAAAGCATTACATGGCTATTCAGTCATATAAAGAGGGCTAGTATTATCAACTTTGCATTATTTATAAACGGAAATAATGTGTACACCAAAGGATTTCAGTTATGAAAAATACATGAATAACTGGTTTGAGTCACTGATACTTCTTACAACACAGAGGCATGTAGGATGCCGAAAATGTGACCTCTTTTTCTTTGTTTAAGTGAATTTAACACTTTTCTTATTCTAGCAAAATGGGGTTGGTACTCTTATAGCTCAGTTGGTATCGCTGAGAGTGTGTTCACAATTATCCTTGTTGGGTCCTTGTTTAGACCCAGCCTAGTCCAAAGGGCATGCTTGATTTGGTCCTGTTCTAGTCCTGGTTTAGTCTTGATCTATTTCAGAACTGATTCAAAATTTAGACCCAGTTTAGTTTTCATTTTGATGTGATCTATGTGAAGACACCCTGAAAAAAAGGACAGATTTAGACTTTTCCTTAATGGTTTTTGAATGAATAAAATTTCTCCCAGAACAAGTACAAGACAGCATTATATTATTAAACAAATAATACATAATACATTTTTTTGAAAATGTGTTCTCAAATCGGTATTGAAAGATGAGCTTTTTACTAATTCTCCTCATTTGACATTTTAGTCCATAGCATATAAATGGACACAGCTAAGACGCTAGCTGCTTCGGACGCTGGCTCCCATTGACAAATATATAAGTCAATAGGATATTGTCAATACTGTCACCCCTCTCTCTGTAATAGTGAGCATCATCATTTCAGTCTTAAAAAGTTTGTATTAACCCGCTCTACATGATTCAGATGTTTTTATTTTGCAATTTTGTCAAAATTTTGTAAATAAGTTCCTATTCCTAAGCCTGGCTCCAAATTCACCCCTGTAACAACCAGCATCATGAACTTCATTTGACTGGAGCTCAACGCTTCATGTTTTGCTGAACTAGTTGATTAATGTTATTAAAGTTAGTGATTGTCTGTGTTGTAAATTACACTATTAGACCATTTTAACCCTCTGTTACACAATGATATATCTAACTGCCCTTACCCCATCAATGCGAGGCTCTCCTGCACTGCACTCCTGACAGCAGGCCTGCTGGACCAACTCCTGGGCCTCTTCCCGTTCTCCGGACTCGTATGTGGAGCGGATCTTCTCTAATGTGACAGAGGCAACCAGTGTGGACCCGTGCTCCGGCTCTGAGGCAGGAGGGGGTTCCTTGTCCTCCCCTGGACCTGCAGTACATTCACTACATGTGAATATCACTACATACATTTATTTAGTCAAGATTTATGCAGGCTCCTGGCTCTGATACGACACAATTCGTTCTTTGCAAAATTGTTTGTTTAACAGCCATTTTGGAGGAGTATTTTCTCTAATCTAGACTTGGAAGTTTTATTTTAAGTTATTAAGGTAAATTATGCTTTTGCTTTGAAACAAAAAATGAAGCCTGAAGCAGGACAGTGGCCTGTAGAGAAATACAATCAGAACTGATGCCTCAAATCATGTTGACATCAAACACCTGGTCTGTCAGACAGCTGTTTATGTGTCTTAATAAGGGAGAGACAGAGACGTACTGTCCTGCTGCATCTTCACTGCGGACGGCCCAGGCTCCAGAGCCCCTTTAACACACCAGTAGGACATTCTGAATCAGGCACTGTGGCACTGAGGCACTTCCATCCTCCAAACCAGACTTGGACTGTGCCTGCAAAGAAAAGAAATGAACAATTATTGTTAATTATTGCAATTTAACTGCAGTGGAAAAAAGGCTACTGTGTATGTATTTTGGTTCAAAGACTCCTGACAGAATGACATAGTGTAAATAAGATGCTGATATTAGGCATTAGACATGAAAAGCAAACTGAAAGCAAAGCAAAGTGTCTGGTTTCAATGCCAGTGCCCTTATCTGCCCTGTTTTAATTGTGTGTCTGTGGGACTTACCAGAATTTAATACCCAGTGACTCTTTTATAAAAGCACTAAGTGCTTCCTGTTATAGGCTAATGTGGACCATTAGAAGAGCAGTGCCGCTGTGCTTGGGTGCAGGTGACTGAGCGCACGATCACCCCACATGAGGCCGCTGAACAGTGCATTTTATATACTGCTCCTGGTTAGATTTTTTCGAATCTTTTAACGATTTAAAACAGGCATTATTTCTTCAAAACTGCTTCACTCCACTGCTCTCCAGCTGTGTCCTGATATGCGTGCGCAGTGGTTTACTAAAAGGTACAAAGTTTGTGTGGCCATGGAGGTGTAACGTCCAGTTAGAAATAACCTATTACTGTGTATAATGGAGAACTTACTATGGAAAGAAAAGTCTTCTTGATTTATGTCCAAACCCACAACAATCGTCTAGAAATACTCAGATTATTACTACTATTAGCCCATTGCCATATAACAGCACCTAGACTTTCAGGTGCTGGAATCTCACTGGAGACAATTATTTCCTCATTAATACTAAATAAAGCCTGCGACAGCACACTTTTGTTAACCCAAACGCTAATCGCTGGCAGAGGAACGCGTGTGCGAAGTTTCACTCAAGATTCCTCAACTAACACAGGCAACAGTTTAGCTCCATTAAACTGTTATAAACAAATGAAGCCGTAATCCCCGGACCGCGAAGCACCGCGCAGTGCCAGACACGGCTTTATACGGTAATAGCCCAATACTTAGAGCTTTAATACTTACAGCTTTAATACTTAGAGCTTTGTAGAGTGTCGGCATCCTGCTCAAAAACAAAAAAAAAAAAAACACGCAAACTTCCTGATTCCACACAGGCGTCGTGTTTCCCCGCTCCGCAGCACAGAACGGGGTCAGACCTTCAGGAAGAAGTCTGAAGTGACGGCTCCGGGTTTGGGACCAGCGAGAGGAAAAAGTGAGCTCAGAATCACACAGCCCACTGCAGCAGCCATGGTGTGAGCTCTGCGCGTCCACCGCCCATCGCGCCTGGAGTGTGGACAAACAGGAGACGTGTTCTGGGCGGGGACAGAGGGCACGGGCTGAGCTGTGGATGTATGGGGCTCAGTTTAAGACAAATAAAGGAACTGTACGTAGCATGCGGTCTTACTGTTTTTTGAAAAAGATGGCCTACTATAAGCCTGGACTCTAGAGTAGGCTACACAGATTTATATACGGACAGACATGTGAAAGCTCAGAACCTCCAGAGTTCCCTCACTGAGCTGCAGAGGCCGCACTAGCACTGACTCCTGATTGTCTGCAGGTTCTGGGGTTTAGGTGGTGAGGCTTTAGATAAGAGAGGCATTTTAGTTCTCACCCTCTGGCTTCACTATGGACATTTTTGTATTCATTTTGCATTTTTCAAACTTGGTCTTCCTCTATTGATTTAATGCTAATGACACCAAATGATTTACCTGACCTTCTAGTCCCTCTTACATTCTGTCTTTGTGAACTTTTGTCAAAGATGATATGATTTTGGCTGGCCAGGTAACCAAACTATCAGGAATATCTCTTGTTGAAGTTTTTGTTATTGCATTGGAACACACACCAGGACCTTATAAGGACATAAAATATCCACTCACAAAAACGCAGTAAAACCATCATAGTTTGATATTTTTTCATAATCTTTTAAATCTAAAGATCCTGCCCATATCAAAATATATAGCCTTAAAAAAATAAATCAGTGCAACTTTAACCCTTTAAATGCCAGTTTGTTTTGACATGTGGTGTAAAAATGCCATCTAAAATTGAGGTAATTTCTAGATAACTGAAGCCAGGGTATGGGATATACTTTTATATAGCCTATATATGTCCTGGGAAGCTTTAACTTTGTGTAAAATTGAAAGTTTTTAGTTTTTGTGTAATATCACATAACACACACACACACACACACAAAAAAAAAAAAAAAACACAGACACTTAGAACCCAAGGACACAAATGTCTTACAGAAACAGCTGTAAATCATCACAGATTCATATTTTTCTTGGTCTACATTTTAGAGTATCACGTCAAGAGGATTGTGGGAAAGGTTATGGCTCCATCTAGTGGTCAAAACGTGCCTCTGCAACACTACAGAAGAAGGAGGTATTGGTGTCACATTTATACATTCACAAGTCACTTTTTAAATTCATTTTAAGAGTCATTGTGTCAGACTAAATGTTATACTTATAAGTGAGTATTATTAGGTTTACGTAACATTACCTGGATATTGTGATGATGAGGATTTTTGCATATTATTTTATGTTTTATCATCAGTGAACGCAAATCAGATTTATTTTTGTATTATTTGGAAAACAGCAATTGTTCTATAGACCGGTGTTTTGTTTTTTAGAAATGTTCATGTGATTTTATGGTTGTCACAATAACTGACACAACAGGGAAAAGAAATAAATAGGGCTGCTTGATTTTAAAGACCATTTGGTACATTTATTTATTCTTTACATAATCACATTCTCTTGCTTCTTACAATGCTCATAATTATCCCATTGTGACATCTATGAAATACAACGAATCCTGACATTCCCAATTCCGCTTAGTGCTATAATATGCCCCGTTTTTATCGCCGTCCAAATGAGCACAATCAGTGTAGTGTTGTGAATACATAAAGCGTGTCGAAATAGGCGTGTTGATTGTAATGACCTACTGTGTACTATTAGCTGTATTGGTATCAACAAAAGCAAGCACAACATGTCTGATCAGTGTTATTGTGCAGGGATAAAAGAAGAGTGGCTTATTTTGTTTCCCTTAAAAACAATATTTGCACAGGGGGGGAAAAATAGTCACTTTTTTCACAGAAACATCATCATAACCTCAAAATAGTGATTGAGGTAATAATAATGTGTTATAATTGCGTTCATAATTGACAGCAACATTCTAGAGCAGGGGTGGGCAAACTTTTTTGACTCGTGGGCCACAAACAAAGGGTTCTAAATTTTGACGGAAGGGCCGGACCGGGAGCAGATGGATGGAGTTTTTTGGTAATCCGCCTCATAAGAGACAAAAAATAACATGAAATATCTCATAACTGAAAATCATTACAAAACACTTCAACAAAATATCTGTCTTTCAAGTCCCACGGTATTTACGATTTATTGAAATGAGTTTTAAAACACTGAAAAACATTATTATCATTATTATTATTATTATTCAAGTTCGGCGGGCCGGATTAAAAACATTTAAGGGCCACATATGGTCCCCGGGCCGTAGTTCGTCCACCCCTATTCTAGAGTCTCTAAAACATTGAACAGGAATATGGATCAGAATGCTTTTCATGGGTTTCAGGCGTTTCTGGTTTGAAGGATTTTGTAAGGATCTCTTCCAAATTATAGATATATTTGACCATGAATCGTATTATTGCTATAGCAACAGAGGATCATTACTGTGCCATTTCCTTCAAATCAGGAAAAACAAGAATGGTGGAATCTGCTGTTTAAAAATTTGAGTTTCCTCATCACAAACATACCTGCAGCTGTGTTTTGTTTCATTCACACACACAAACTCTGCATATTTAGGATGAATTCTTCTCTCAAACTGAAAACACTCTGCTCCATCTTGTCATGTCATGTGGTAATACAGGAAGTGCTCCACTTTTTAAGTTCCATACACCTTCACTAGATCCATTTGGAAAATTCCAGACCTAGATTCCCCATCTCTACTGAACTAAAGGAGCTGTTAACTTGAAAAACTACCACTTCATGACATCACAAGGTGGAACAGAGCATTTTGAGCTTTGGAGATGTAGACAGACTAATAATAAAGTGTTACTCAAACATGTGTAAATGACACAAAACACAACTCTGGGTATGCTGTTTGATGAGGTAACAACATTCTAACAGGGTTTAAAATTTGCTAGAATCAGTTTAGCATAATGTAGATATTTATTAATTATTCATATTTAACTCAGACTCCAGATTTGTTCACCTGGATTATTTTTCATATACACAGAATCTATAATTATTGGGCCTATTCACCTGAAACAAAAAGGCACAAAGTTCAAAGTTCTCTCCACAAAAGCTTCACAACGTGTTTCCATTACACAAATCTAGAGATGTGATTTTGTTGCCAGTTAAAAGTTAATGGATAATGTTCAACAACATTCAGGATATGTGGATCATGTATTTGGAGTTTTCTTAAGAAAAAAAAAAAAAAAAAAACTTACAAGAAAATTTCCAAAAAAAAAAAAAAAAAACTACTTCAGAAATTATGACATTATCCAATTCAAAAACATGAACGCAACGTATAAAGAAAAAGTAGCTGCTAGATTCACAATGGAGAGGATTGCAATATTACAGTAATATAACAAATCTTAAAGATTAAAAGATTAGAACCTTTAAAAGGCCTATATTATGATTTTTATTACAGCAAGCCTTACCTTCACTGGAATCATTTGTTTAATTTCATCCCTGGAATTGCCGATCTCTGCTGAACTAAATTAAAACTTAAACTTAAAGCTCATGAGAGTCAATGTTGTGTAATATAACACTTTAAATAATTACACATTTTGTCAGAGTAAAAAAAAACCTACGTGACTTTGCTCTTCTCATGTTTGTATACAGGCTAAGAGCTGCCCTCCCAAAGCCATCTGTGCTATTATGCACCACTGGCTCTGCAGGTGGTTCCCTGGCAACAATGGAATACATTTTGGACACAATATTATGCACATTTTAATAAAAACACTCACCAAACGACTGCTATTTCCACAACAAGAGGAGAGGCATGTATTACACAGAGGGTGAGAGGGGCCAGAAAGCTCCTGTACGCTCTGTCCTCATCTTTATTCTGCAATTCAAATGTTGTTCAAACAGTATTGACATATTTTCTGGTGGCCACTTTTATCTAAAATATAAACAGCTATGGCCTATCTACCACAGAATATTATGTATAACATTAGGGGAGGTGTTGTTATGCAAAGAGCTAAGAGATACCAGAGGTATAGGTCATTCTAGAGCAGGGGTCTCCAGCCTTTTTCCTCCGGTGAGCTATGTTTACCAAACAAAAATGCCAGAGAGCTGCTCATTTAATGAGAGCCAAGAGAAGCCCTACAGTTAGATGTCTATAAAACATAAACCAATATCCATTATCCATAGTCCATAAAGTTAAGCATCAAAATGATATATTTAAAATGGTACTAGGCATTTAATGCATCCAGTTTGAGTTGAGTTATTTCCTTTGGAAAACAACTTGGAAGGGGGTGAAGAGCTATTGGTAACTCCCGAGCTAGAGGCTGGAGACCCCTGTTCTAGAGGTAGAAGCTCATTCTGACCAAAACAATATTACCAACAAACAAGGTATTTATGGCATACTGTGCCAAACCTTTCCAATAAAAAAAAATAAAAAAATATGCAAACCTTTCCAGTAAAATATGTCTGAAGAAGATGTTGAGTAATCTGACTTTCTCTCTAGGACACTATTCAAACCGTCTCTATAGTTAGCAGTATGATTCTGTCCAGTGCTTAGCTCACATGCCTACATAAGCTAAAATAACAAATTCTTTTCAGCAAATATAGTATTTTCAAAACTATAAAAGATGACACTGTGATCTAAATATGACATATACCACTATGTGTTAGCAGTTAATACACAATGCAGTTTATAATTCTCTCTCTTTAAAAACTAAATGCCTAATGACATAACACTTTGCACTAGAGCCACTGCGCCTCACTGTGGCACCTGGTGTTCCCAGTGGTCTCCCATCCAAATACTAACCAGCCCCAGCCTTGCTAAGCTTGCAAGATCGATCAGGATCAGGCATGGACAAGAATGTATGGCCACATCAAGTTTGGGATATGTTATGTAGGCTTGAGCAACATCTGCTGGTCAGAGCACAAATTGCAATTCTGAACAAAATGTTTTTGGCAAAAGTAATAGTCTGTTAAGTTAAGTTGCTTATGCATGCTCAAATCATGCAGGGCAATTTGAATGTTAGCGCAGAAAAAGGAAGAAATGAAAACTAACAAAAGATGGGTGTTTGTTGTGCAGGTGG